GACCCTCAGCACCGCAAGGTGTGCCAGGACATGGCCCAGCCCCTCTCCCACTACTACATCAGCTCTGCCCACAGCGCCTGCCTGCTGGAGGACAACTTCTGGGGCCGCTCAGACATCAGCGGCTACATCAGCGCCCTGGGCTTGGGCTGCCGCAGCATCGAGCTGGTGCTGTGGGACGGCCCCGAGGGCGAGCCCGTGGTCTACACCAGCCCCTCGGCCGCCTCCTGCGTGCCCTTCCGCGCCGTGGTGGGGCTGATCGACCAGCACGCCTTCACCGCCTCTGCCTACCCGCTCATCCTCTGCCTGGTGGTGCGGTGCTCGGCACCCCAGCAGCGCCTGGCCGCGCAGTGCCTGCGCAAGACGCTGGGCGAGAAGCTGTACCTGGAGCCCCCCAACCCCGCTGCCTCCTACCTGCCCTCGCCGGAGCAGCTCAAGGGCCGCATCCTCATCAAGGGCAAGAAGCTGCCTCCCGGCTGCGAGGACAGCGAAGGGGAGGTGTCGGACGAGGAGGAAGGCCGGGAGCTGGCGCGGCGGCTGGGACAGGAGGAGCGGGAGGTGCCGGACATGGGGGGCCCCCGGCGCCTGCGCCTCAGCCGCGAGCTCTCGGAGCTGGTGAGCCTGTGCCAGGCCGTCCCCTTCCAGGACTTCGAGAGCTCGCGGCGCGGGCAGCGCTACTGGGAGATGTGCTCCTTCAGCGAGGTGGAGGCGGGACGCTTCGCCAACGAGTGCCCGGCCGAGCTGGTGAGCTACAACAAACGGTTCCTGTCACGCGTCTACCCCAGCCCCATGCGCATCGACGCCAGCAACATGAACCCGCAGGACTTCTGGAAGTGCGGCTGCCAGATGGTGGCCATGAACTACCAGACGCCGGGGCTCATGATGGACCTGAACGCGGGCTGGTTCCGGCAGAACGGCGCCTGCGGCTACGTCCTGCGCCCCGCCATCATGCGGGAGGAGGTCTCCTACTTCAGTGCCAATGCCAAGGACTCCTTGCCTGGGGTGCCCGCACAGCTCCTCCACCTCAAGGTCATCAGTGGGCAGAACCTGCCCAAGCCCAAGGGCTCGGGGGCCAAGGGGGAGGTGGTGGAGCCCTACGTCTGCGCTGAGATCCACGGCATCCCAGCCGACTGCGCCGAGCACCGCACCAAGACGGCCCTGCAGAGCGGGGACAACCCCATCTTTGACGAGAGCCTGGAGTTCCAGATCAACCTGCCGGAGCTGGCTGTCCTGCGCTTTGTCGTGCTGGATGATGACTACATCGGGGATGAGTTCATCGCCCAGTACACCATCCCCTTCGAGTGCCTGCAGCCTGGCTACCGCCACGTCCCGCTCCAGTCTCTCACTGGGGAACCTCTGCCCCACGCCACCCTCTTCGTGCACGTGGCCATCACCGACCGCCGCGGCGGGGGCAAGGGGCACCGGCGGGGGTTGTCGGGGCGCCGGGGACGCCGGGTGCGGGAGTACACGTTCACCAAAGCCACCGGCATTAAGGCCATCGACGAGGTGTTCCGGACGGCGACCCAGCCTCTGCGGGAGGCCACCGACCTGCGGGAGAACGTGCAGGTATGGACCACGCAGGGGCACCGGGGACCTCGGGGAGGATGGGGCTAGCCTGTGAGCAGTGGGGAGCATGGGGATCCCCCTTCTTCCTGGGGGATGTGGGTGAGCGGCCTCATGTGGAGCAGAGAGCTGGGAGAATGGGGACATTCCCTCCCTGGCAGAGCCCCTGACGCTGGTCTCTACCCGCAGAATGCCCTGGTCTCCTTCAAGGAGCTGTGTGGTCTGACGCCTGCCGCCAACATGAAGCAGTGCATCCTGACGGTGGCCACGTGGCTGCTGCACAGTGACAACTCGCCCAGTGTCACCCTCAACCTGGCAGAGAAGTACCCCCCCATGGAGGCCCAGGGCCCCATCCCGGACCTGCTGCGCAAGGTCCTCACCGCCTACGAGACGGTAAGTGCCGTGTCCCACCGGGGCTTGACTCCTTATGGGGATGCTCTGCAGGGCTGGGGGCACCAGGACAAGCAGGACAGGGCACCCTGACTCACTGCGCCCATCACGGTGCACAGGGAGGCTGCTGGGGGCTGCCCATGCAGGACCCTTGTTGAGGTGCAGGTTGACCCAGCTCAGTCCGAGCCCTGGGATCCAGCAGCCCCTGTCCCCTGCTCATGGGGAGTCCTGCGGTCCTGCCTGGTGGGAGAAACCCCATTAACAGCTGCAGGCAGAGCCGTTTCCTTCCTTTGTGTTGGAGGGGCCCTGCTTGCCCTCCAGGCAGCGTCACCCTGTGCACTGCTGGGTGAGGAGAGCCCGACCCCGAGCTCCGTGCTGAGGCAAGGGGCAGCCCCTGCCCGAGCCCCTTCTCCCCACCCGCTCCTCACAGCACCCCTCTCCCCAGATGATCCAGACCAGCCGGACGCTGATCGAGTCGGCCGACGCGGTGTACAGCAAGCTCATGCAGGCACAGCAGGCAGGTGGGTCCTGGGGCACCTCTAACCCTGGTGCTGCTCCGTGCCACAGGCCTGGGCACATCCCTGCAGGGCTCGGTTCGGTGGCTCCGGCACCAAGATCTGGACCTGGGCACGGGCATGGCCACGCGTTCATGGTCAGGCACGGGACAGGGATTCCTGGCTCTGGTGCCTCTGAGCCTGCCTCTGGTTTTCCCGTGTTCCGGCAGCACGGTGTGGTTGTGGGATCCTGCGCGGTGCTGGGTGCCGTCGGGGTGCTTGGGGCCACGCCGGGGCAGGGTGCTGAGTGGGTGGGCTGCAGGGGCTGTGCGGGAGGGAGCGGGGAGGGGGAGGCGAGCAGAGGAGGCTGATGAGGAAGCAGGGAAGAGTCATTATCTGCCAACCGCCGCAATAAAATTAGCACCAGAAAGAACAGACCGGGGCTGATGGCAGGAGCGGCAACGGAGTGCTAGGACTCCCAAAACACGTGGGTGAACCCACACAGGCAGGTGCTGCCGCTGCCTGCCCCGGCTCCCCCCCCCCCCGGGCCTGCCCGGGCCCCCCCAGGCCGGTCCCAGCCTTGCTGCCGGCAGCTCTGTTCGTTCCCTGCCTGCGCCGCAGCCGGAAACCATCCCGAGCTCTCGGCTTTGGGCTCTGCCGCCGCTGCCAGCGCTGGGGGGGCACGGGCTGGGTGCGGGGCCGGGTGGGCTCCTGTGGCGCTGGGGGTGTCGTGGGGCAGAGAGCGCTTTGGGGGCTGCAGCCCCATCCCGTGCCAGGCGCTGCCTGCCCCCGCTTCTGCCCCTGCAGTGCCCGGCGGCGGGTGCCGGGTGCGGTGCGGGGGGGGGGGGTGTGAGTGACAGCCCGTGGGTGAACGGGCTGCGGGGGAGCCTCGCGTGGGCCCGGAGCCGGTGCTGCGTCAGGGCGGTGAATGCGGCACCGCTCACGGGGACGTCACGCGGAGCACGGCGGGGGCAGCCCCGCACTGAGCCCCCCGGGGAGCCGCGGCGTGGAGGAGCCGGAGCCCAGAACCCCGCGGGGCTGGGGCCGAGCGCGGTGCCGGGGGGGGGCTCCGGCTGCAGGGACAATGCGGAGCCGCCGTCCTGCATCCCTGAGGCGGGAGAAGGGAGTCCCCGTCCCCGCTCAGCACCGCTCCCGTGTGTGCAGGAATGGACTTCCACAAGGAGCTGCACCGCATCGAAGCCAAGGAGGGGCTGCGGGGCCGCAAGCTGCAGAAGGCGCTGGAGAGCTTCGCTTGGAACATCACAGTGCTGAAGGTGAGGGGCCAGGGCTGCGCGGCCCCGCGGGCCCCCGCTCACCCACGCTCACCCGAACCCCGAGGATGCTCCGGGAGCGATGGCGATGGCACGGACCCGCTCGGGGGGTCCAGGGGGTGCCTGCTCATAGGGGTGGCTGATGGGGCACCCCATGCTCCGCAGCCGGGGTCCGGGGAGCAGGAGTGGGGCAGGCCCGGTGATGGCCTCTCCCCGGCAGGGCCAGGCTGACCTCCTCAAGCACGCCAAGGCCGAGGCGCTGGACAACCTGTGGCAGATCCACAACGCGGGACAGTCCTGCGGCATCGGCAGGAACGGCTCGGCCTCGCCGGAGCCCTCCCGGCTGCGCGCCCCGTTGGAGCCCATCCCGGAGACAGAAGGAGGCGGTGAAGCGGCATCCTGCTGACCCCGGCCTGGGGCTCGGGGGCCCGGACTGAGCACTCCCCGGCTGCAGGGCCCGGGACCAGGGAGCCACATCCTGCCCATAGACGGGCAGCTGCGTGCGGGCAGGCTCTGTGCGTGGAGGGACGCGTGTGGGGCTGTGCTCTGCCGTGCCGAGGGGCTGCGGTGGGGCCAAGGGGGAGGCTGCGGAGGGATGGGCCTGCTCCAGCTCTCTCCCTGGCCTGAGTTCCCGGGGCCTCATCCATCCCTCCATCCACTTCCAGAGCGAGGGCCCTGCTGCAGAGCCAGCAGGGGTGCTGAAACCCCTATGTGTGTGTGGACCCCCAGCCTGCCGGGCCAGACTCCTCTTGTGTTACAGCCTGGAGCTGGGCTTCTGCCCCATCCAGGGCCATGGGTTTTGCCTTCAGCAGCCCAAGGATGGGCCCAGGCAGGAGTTGTGGCTTCTGGCATCAGGGAAACATCAGGGTTTATTCCCTAGGGAGAAGGGGCTCCTGGCACAAGCAATGTGCAGGGGGCGGTCTGGGGTCGGACTGGGGCTGTGGAGTGTTATAAAGAGTGTGAGACCCTGCTGCTCCCTCCGGATGCCTGGTGCAGGGCTGAGGTGGGATGGGGTTACTGAAGGGGATGAAGGGTGGCACCATTGCTACCCCATCACCAGCCGTGCTTGGAGTGATGACTCCCCACATCAAGGAGCCGTGCAGCTGCCCGGCACCCGTTAATTCAGGAAGCTAATTAGCCTAATGGGGACCCAAGGAGCAGACCCTTGCACTGCTGCTGCTGTCAGGAGCAGCCCAGCGCTGCCCTTCGGCCCCTTTGTGCCTGCCCAGCCATGGGGCCCATGGGCAATTATGGCCTCATTAGAGCCAGGCGCCCCGGCAGCGCGATGGCCGCTGAGCACCCGCACAATGAGGAGCTGCAAATGAGGGGAAAGGCCTGGGCGGTCTCCGGGCTACGGGCCCGTGTCTCCCAGAGACCGGCCGCAGCCGCCTGCCCCGGCGGTATTTTTGGCATCACTATTGTGCCGGGGCCTATAAAGCGGCAGCTGTGGCGGTGGCACAGGGCGCTGTGCTCCTGGCTGCCCAGCAGGACATGCCCCAGCGCTGCTCGGCCGCCTGAAGACCCCAGGAAGGATGGAGGTGCCCAACACCAAGGTGGGGTGGGGTGTTGCAGCCTATGGGTCCAGGAGGGCAGCGATGGGGGCAGGTTGGGATGTGGGGCTGGGGGTGCGAGGGGGCTTGGCTCATGGCTCCTCCCTGGGGCTCCCCAGCTGTGGCCAGTGGCCACTTGGGGGGCTCAGCTCTGCTTGGGCTCCTCAGGAGGGAGCTGGATGTGTTGGTGCCTGTGGTGCCAAGTGTGGGTGCTCTGGCACTCGGCAGCAAGGGGAGGGTGTTTGCTGCGGCTGCCTTGTGCTGGTGAGGGCACCCACATTGGGCTGCTGGTCACAGTGTGCTTGGGGTCCATGGGTGCTGGGGCTGGGGGGGGGGGGGGGGTGGGATTTTGCTGCTGTGCACTGGCCATGGGGCTGGGACCCCGCAGCAGCACCACAGTCACCAGGGCAGATGGGGCTGGCACCGGTGGGCACGGCAGCGCTGCTGCTGCCCTGCACTAATGCTGCCCATTGCTCCAGCAGCTCCAGAGAGCTGCCTGCCTCTTGCTCCTGCTCCTGCTCTGCTCCCTGGCTGCTGCCCGGCAGAGTCTGCCCGAGTGCTGCCGGCAGAAGACCTGCTCCTGCCACATCTATGACCTCCTGCACGGCATGGGCAACCACGCCGCCGGCATCCTCACGCTGGGCAAGAGGAAGAGTGTCCCCCCGGCATTCCAGAGCCGGCTCTACCGCCTGCTGCACAGCTCCGGCAACCACGCCGCGGGCATCCTCACCATGGGCAAGCGTGGGGAGCGCCCTGGCACCGCCTGCCACGATGCACCGGGCTGCCCCATGGGTGCAGGCACTGACACCAGCCCCAGGGACCAGTGCCAGGGACACTCGGGGAAGGACCTGAGCAAGAGCCAGGCCCAGGGAGCTGCTAAGAGCTTTTATTGAGAGGGGTGGGGGCAGCGGGAACAGAGCGAGGACCCATGGGGGGCAGACCCAGGGACACACGCCTGGAGCTCGGTGTAAATAGCACTTTGACATACCTCCTCCTGGCCTGGCCCAGCCTGCTCAGGGCACTGCAGGCACCGCCGGCCTTTTACAATAAATGATAGCCCGATGTTACCTGGCTCTGCCTTCTCTCTGGGGAGGGGATGGGAGGGGTACGTGGGGCTGGGTCCCAGCAGGACCAGAACTGCAATGAACAGAGCCAAGACCCGGCTGCCTGGGAGCTGAGGGGTGTTTGTGAAGCCCCCATGAGGGCTCGGAGCATCCCCCCCACAGCACCAGGGAGCCTCGTGGGCACACGCGCCTGGTCCCCACCACCCCGTCCCTGCGCAGGGGCCTGGGGAGGCTGCGGCTGGGTCCTGTCACCCCCGGGTGCCCCTCAGGACCCGGCCTTGCCCTGCAGCCCCCGGGCTCAGCCATAAGCAGCGGGGGTGATGCTGGTGCCTCCCGTCCTGCCCCTTCCGCAGCCTCCGTGGGCCCGGCAGGGCCGGTGCCCCCCGGTGCCCCCCGGTGCCTCCCGGTGCCCCCCGGTGCCCCCCGGTGCCCCCTGTGCCCCCGGTGCCGGTGGGGGGGCGGCGCAGGTCGGAGCCACCTGCCCGCGGGCGGGTGCCGGTGCCGAGGCCCCTCCCGGTGCCGGCGGCGCGCAGAGCCCGGGGCGGGGCGGGGGCGGGGCGGGAGCCCCGGGCCGGGCCGAGCCGAGCCGAGATCAACCCGCGGAGCCGGGACCGCACCTGCGGAGGGGCCCGGGGGCGGCAGCGGAGCCCGATCCTGCGGCCGCAGCCCCGCGGGACCATGCCGGTGATGAAGGGGCTGCTGGCGCCGCAGAACACGTTCCTGGACACCATCGCCACCCGCTTCGATGGCACACGTAGGGCCGGGGCGGCGGGGAGCGGGGAGGGACGGGGCTCGGGGGGTCGCGGCCGGCCCTGTGCTCTGCACTGTCCCGGGGAGCCCGTGTCCGTTGCTGCGGTACCCCCCGGTGTCCGTGCTCGGGTTCGTACCCCGCACAGCTCGGTGCTCCGGGCCCCCCGCATCTGTGCTCGGTGTTTCGGTACCCCCGCATCTATGCTCGGTGCTCCGGGCCCCCCGCATCTGTGCTCGGTGTTTCGTTACCCCCGCATCTGTGCTCGGTGTTTCAGTACCCCCGCATCCGTGCTCGGTGCTCCGGGACCCGCCGCACCTCGGGCAGTCTCCGGTGCTCTCCCCGCTGCCGGTCCCGCGGCAGCGCTCAGCACCAGGGACAGAGGCCGGGCTCGACGGGAGGGGCCGTAGGGACCCCGGGGCGGGTCGGGCGTCCCGTTGGGGTCCTTGCTGGTCCCGTCCCATCCCGGCTGCCCCGGAGCCCCCCGAACCCAGCTTTGTGGTGGCGGGTCCCGGGGCGGGTTCGTGGGTTCTGGCTGACCCCACGGGGATCGGGGGTCAGGGTTCTGCCCCCCGGCTCCCTGGAGCTGTGGGGCTGCCGTGGGGCACAGCCAGTGGCTGTCACCTCTGCGACACATGGAGGGGCCCTCGGGGACCCCCAGTGCTGCACGGGCCACCACCCCGTTAGCATCGCGCCCACTGGTTTGGGGTTATGTCCCTGGAAAGGTGGATGCCAAGGAGCTGTGTTTGGGGGGGACATCGTCCCTTTCGGGGTCACTTTGCACGGCTGGAGGTGCTGTTGGTGCACCCCCGGAGCTGGGTTCCCCTCTGGATCCATGTCCATGTGCTGTGGCCAGGATGGATTAAACCCCTGGCATGCTGTGGAGGGGATCATGCCGGCGTGCCACGTGCCAGCTCCCGGCACCGCTGTCACCATGCAGTCACCCGGGGACAGGCCACGTTCAGGGCTGACCCCAGGCTTCCCCCGTATCTCCTGGAGCAGGGGTCTCCTGGACCAGCTGCCTGCGGGGCTGGCCCTGTCCCACCTCGCTGGGAGGGACCAGTATGAGCCTGGCACCGGAGCCTGTATCCTCTCCCACAGCATCGGGGCTCCAGGAGCAGCCCTGGAACATGTTTTGGCTGGCTCCCGGCCTGGCGTGATGTGCAGCATCCCAGAGGACACAGGGTGTCATTTGGCTTTAGGAGCTCTCATTTGGGATGTTCCCTTTGAGACCACAATGACAGGCAGCAGCCTCTGAACCTTCCCCTGCTGTGCCCAGAGGTGCCAGGGTAGAGCTACATCTGCCTTGTGCTGGTGATGCTGTGACTGTATCTCCGCAGGGCTGAGGCTTCCCAGGGCTGGATCTGGCTCTCTGAGGAGCAGGGTCCCCAGGGGAGCTGCCTGCAGCACCCCAAGCAGTGCAAAGCCCTGGGAATTTGCCCCGGGGAGATGGGATTTGCCCCCAGCAGCATCCCCATCTGGCTGCCACCTTCCAGGCACTTTTAAATAGCGTCAGGCTTTGCTGGTTTGATGTGACTCTTATCGGCTTTATCTGCCATGGAGAGGGGCTTTAGCCACTGATACCCGGGTGAGTTAACCCTGCCTCTCCCAGGCCCGCTGGCTCTGAGGGTACCCATCTGTGCGAGCTGGTCACTGTGATGGGGGCTGCTGACCCCCCAGTGCCGCATCCCCCTGCTCAGCAGAGCTGCTCCCAAATGCAAGCCCTTTTTTTCCTCTTCTAATAACACATCCTGGACAACGCCGTAATCCTGGTTCCCCAGAGCCAAAATCTGGCCTTAGTCACAGCTTCGAGCTATTTTTGCTTCCCCAAGCTAATCCCGGGCTGAGCTGTGCTGTGGTGGCCCTGCTGCACCCCCATGGCACCAGGGCTGCCTGCAGCTGCATCCCCTCCTTCTGCAGCCTCCTCTGCCCCTGCACTCCCTGCCCTGCCCTGCCCTATGCATGCCATGCACTTCCAAGGGCTCTCTCCTTCACTGTGAGAGGGGTCAGACCATGTCTGCCCACTCCGGGTGCCTGCACTGTGGGGCACAGGGGTGCTGGGCTGAGGATCCATGAACTGGAGACTGTACTGGGTCTGGAGACACCCTGGTCTGCCATCACCGGGTGCAGGGGTGTTCCATGCCAGCCATACTCCCCGCTTCCCTGGCACCCTTTTAGCATGAGGCCATCTCCCCTTGTGGGCCAAGGTCACCCAGTGTGGGCCACGGCCTCACCCCAGGCTCTGGGCTTCTCTGCCCTGCTCTTGGTGGGCTGGAGGTCGCAGCATCACAGCCCAGTGCCCCAGGGCTGCCAGTGCCCGGCTGGGTTTGCCACGGCTCCTGCTAAGCTGCCGGAGGCCTGGAGGGAGGTGGGAGCAGCAGATGGTGAGGGGGAGACAGGAACCGGCCGGCAATGGGAGCCGGGAGCTGGATCTGGGCGCCAGGACCCCAGTGCATGGGGCTGGGGCGGGCTTCAGAGGCCACAAGGCAGGGAACAAGCGAGCTCCGGGTGCAGGCAGCAGCCACAGACCCGGCTCCGCTTCCCAGAGGGCCCCATGGGGGTGCGACAGGGCTGAGCTGCCCTTTGTGCCCCCAGGGTGGCGCCGAGCCCTCAGGGGCAGCTGCTTCTCCTTGCAGACAGCAACTTCATCCTGGCCAACGCGCAGGTCCGCTGCGGCTTCCCCATCGTCTACTGCTCCGACGGCTTCTGCGACCTCACCGGCTTCGCCCGCACCGAGGTCATGCAGAAGAACTGCAGCTGCCGGTTCCTCTACGGGGCCGAGACCAGCGAGCCCGTGCTGCAGCGCATCGAGAAGGTGCTGGACGGCAGGCAGGAGTACCAGACCGAGGTCTGCTTCTACAAGAAGGGTGGTGAGTGGTGCACGGCACTGGGACCCTGCCCGCGGCTCCGGATGGACGTGTCCCCAGGGGCAGGGGGGTTGTCGTGCCTTCAGCACCCCTCTTCTCCACGCAGGAGCTGCCTTCTGGTGCCTGCTGGACATCATGCCCATCAAGAACGAGAAGGGGGAGGTGGTGCTCTTCCTCTTCTCCTTCAAGGACATCACAGAGAGCCGGGGCAGGAGCCACGGGGGGGACAAGAAGGAGGGTGAGCCGTGGAGGTGGGATGGGGAGGGATGAGCACAGTGGGCAAGTGGCAAAGGGGCTCCCAGTTCCCTGATGGGTCCTGCCTGCCTCTGTTCAGCTGTGCAGGGAGGGGACCCAAAGCAGCCACTGCCCTGCTGCACCGGCAGTGCCGCAGCCACTAACCCAGCGTGCCTTGTGTGCTGCAGAGAAGCAGAGGAGCAAGAGGCCCGGGAGCTCTCACCTGCGGGCAGCGCGCAGGCAGGGCCGGACCGTGCTGCACCGCCTCAGCAGCCAGTTTGCCCGGAGGGACCGCAGCGAGATGAAAATCAACCGTGTAAGGACCTGGGGGAACCCCTCAGCTGCAGCCGGTGCCTCCGGGGCAGGCTGGTGATGCTGCTGCAATCCTGGCACCAGCCTGTTCCCATGCCTGCCCCCCGCTGGCCTGCCCAGCACCGAGGTGCCGATCACGTCCAGCAGCCACCCCCGGTCCAGGCTGCAAATGGGGTTCGTTGGCATCGGTTGGGAGGGGAGCGCGGAGCCTGCGGCAGCTCCCACAGGGCCCTGCCTCTCCTCGCACGGCTGCTGTCGGGAAGCGCAGCCCCGGGGGGCACCGTTACCAGGCTCCCGCTGTCCCCAGTGGGGACATAGGGGGGGTCTGCCCCAGCATCTGAATCGGCACCTGGGATGCTCTGGGCAGCAGCTGGCAGTGCTGGTGGATTATTGTTAATAGCATTAGCCTCACGCTCCTGTATATGCCATAACCGGGTGTTCTGTGCCCATCTTTGAGGGTGACCTCAGAGCAGCCCATGTGCCCCGTTGGAGAGGTGTGTCCATCACCCTGACATCAGGACGGGGGGGACACCGCAGTGACCTCTACTCCTCGTGCACCACTATGTGCCACCCTGCCACTTGCTCCCCCAGAACGTGTTTGAGAACAAGCTGTCCATCCCCGAGTACAAAGTGGCCGCAGTGCAGAAGTCCCGCTTCATCCTGCTCCACTACAGCATCTTCAAGGCCCTCTGGGACTGGCTGATCCTGCTGGCCACCTTCTACGTGGCCATCACCGTGCCCTACAACGTCTGCTTCACGGGCACAGAGGAGAACCTCTCGGCTGCCCGCAGCACCATTGTCAGTGACATCGCTGTGGAGATGCTCTTCATCCTGGGTAGGTCCATGCTGGGGCTGAGCACCCGTTTGGGATGGGGGACATGGCTGGGCAGGGTGGAGGAGCAGAGTTGTGGGGTGATGTGGAGGGGAGCTGGTGCTTTGCCCCCACTGCTGGTGCTGAGCAGCCTGGGAGTGGGCCCTAGGCTGGCTGTGGACCCCGGGCTGGTGGTGGCAGCGCAGTGAGGACCGGTCCTGCTCCCGGTGCAGACATCATCCTGAACTTCCGGACCACGTACGTGAGCCGGTCAGGGCAGGTGGTGTACGAGCCCCGCTCCATCTGCATCCATTACGTGGCCACCTGGTTCTTCGTGGACCTGATTGCTGCTCTGCCCTTCGATCTGCTCTACATCTTCAATGTGACCGTGGTGAGTGCCACCGGCAGCACCGGTGGGAGGCAGCCCCTTCCGCAGGGATGCGAGAGCAGCGCGGGCAGCGAGGGGAAGCAGTGATGGATATAGCGGGAAACCTCCCACATATCCCGATTTAACCAGAGGATGCCACAAACCACAGTAACTGCTGAGGCACCTCTGAAGGAGCTGCAGGCAGGCACCCGGCCTGCACCCAGCACCCTACACGCCTGTGCTCTGCGTGGGATTCAGAGCAGCTCCATGTCCATGTGCAAAACCCTTGTGCACTGGCACACACCCCATTGCAATGAGGGGCACTTGCAATGCCTCCCCTCTCTGCCCCTCTCCATCACCCCAGATTCTGCAGGACGGTTCGGTGGTGGGAGGCTGCAGGGGACATGCTCATCCCATCTGGCCCCAGAGCCCACGACCCTCCTGACAGCTCGGGGGGGGGGCTGAAGGGTCCCTGCTGGGGGGTGAATGGGTCTCTTCGCACCCTGCCTGAGCGCCTGCCCCGCTCCCTCTCCAGACCTCGCTGGTTCACCTGCTCAAGACGGTGCGGCTGCTGCGGCTGCTGCGGCTGCTGCAGAAGCTGGACCGCTACTCGCAGTACAGCGCCATGGTGCTCACGCTGCTCATGTCCATGTTCGCGCTGCTGGCCCACTGGATGGCCTGCATCTGGTACGTCATCGGGCGCAAGGAGATGGAGAGCAACGACCCCCAGACCTGGGACATCGGTGAGGGGCTGCAGGGGACGGGGGCATGCTCAGGCTGGGGCAGCGGCAGGGGCTGCGCTGGTGCTAACCCCTGGCTGTGCTTGGTAGGCTGGCTCCATGAGCTGGGCAAGAGGCTGGAGGCTCCCTACATCAACAGCTCACTGGGGGGCCCCTCCATCCGCAGCGCCTACATCGCCTCCCTCTACTTCACCCTCAGCAGCCTGACCAGCGTGGGCTTCGGCAATGTCTGCGCCAACACCGATGCTGAGAAGATCTTCTCCATCTGCACCATGCTCATTGGGGGTGAGGAGGGGAGCGGGGCAGCACTTGGGGGGCTTCACCCCCCCCAAGCTGGAGCAGTGGGTGCAGCAGAAACCTGGGCAGGGCACTGTGGGGAGGCGATGAACACATGAGGGCTGTAGGACAGCCCTGGGGCTGGAGGTAGGGGAGAAGCCCCCTGTGCTGCACCCCTCAGCCCCACACTGCTGGCAGGGCAGAGCCCAGCCTATGCTTGAGGCCCCTCAGTGGGTCTGATGCTGCCCTCTTGGTCCCCAGCACTGATGCACGCCGTGGTCTTCGGCAACGTCACGGCCATCATCCAGCGCATGTACTCGCGCCGCTCGCTCTATCACACCCGCATGAAGGACCTCAAGGACTTCATCCGTGTCCACCACCTGCCCCAGCAGCTCAAGCAGCGGATGCTGGAGTACTTCCAGACCACCTGGTCGGTGAACAACGGCATTGATGCCAACGAGGTATAAGATATCGGCTGGGCTGGTCCAGCCCCTCTCCAGGGGCTGGCAGGGCCAGCTATGAGAGTGCCAGTGTGTGTGTATGTACGTGTGTGCAAGCGTGTGCAGATGTGCACACGTCCGTGCTGGAGGGACCAGAGCTGTGCGCCAGCTGTGGGGCAGGTTCCTGCCAGCACAGGGAGTGGGACAGACCCACGCAGCAGGGGCAGCTCGTCACTGCACCATGTTTGCCAGTGGGGCGATGCTCTGCACTGCAGTGGGACCTGTGCCCTGCAGGGTGATGGGGGGCTGCTCCTGCCACCCGCACCCAGCACCCGGCCCCGCTCCCCCCAGCTACTGCACAACTTCCCCGACGAGCTGCGTGCGGACGTGGCCATGCACCTCCACAAGGACATCCTGCAGCTGCCCGTGTTTGAGACCGCGAGCCGCGGCTGCCTCCGCTCCCTCTCGCTCCACATCAAGACCTCGTTCTGCGCCCCCGGGGAGTACCTGCTGCGCCAGGGCGACGCTCTGCAGGCCAACTACTTCGTCTGCTCTGGCTCCCTCGAGGTGCTGAAGGACAACGTGGTTCTGGCCATCCTGGGTGAGGGCAGGCGGCGCGGATGCTCCCCCCGTCCCCTTCTGCTGCCCGGCCGGGTGAGGGGTCCGGGGCTCACGCTGCCAGCCCACCCCGGTGCCCTCCTGCAGGCAAAGGGGATTTGATAGGAGCCGACCTGTGCAGCACCGACCGGGTGATCAAGACCAACGCAGATGTGAAGGCGCTGACTTACTGCGACCTGCAGCACATCGGGCTGCGGGGGCTCTGCGAGGTGCTGCAGCTCTACCCCGAGTATGCCAGCAAGTTCACGGCCGACATCCACCAGGACCTGACCTTCAACCTGCGGGAGGGCAGCGAGATGGAGGTAGGTGCGTGTCCTCCCTCCCTGCGGCCATGCAGGTACGTCCTGTCCTGGTGTAACCCTGGGGAACTGGAAACCAGAGCATGTGCAGAGCAGGAGGTGGATTGAAGGCTTGGAAATGAGGATGGAGAGGACCGGGGGTCACTGCGGGACAGGCAGCGGGGCACAGCCCCCCCGGTGCGCAGGAGGCAGCGCCAGGGGGTGTGGGTTTAGTCACGCTGCCGGCTCCGAGATGTTCTGCTGCAGAAATAGCTCTGCAGAGCTTCTCCTCCCCCGTCTCTGCGCTGGCACCGAGCGGTACCCACAGCCCCAGGCCCTGCAGAGGTGGAGCAGCGGGTCTAGATCCTAGGTAGCCAAAACCCCAGCACATCTATCACCAGGGAGAGGGATAAATAATCCAAGGGTGGAGGATGCAAACGGAGCCCGGCTCCCACGGGAGCTGATGCTCTGATGGGATTTAGGGTGCAGCCTTGGGATACACAGGCCGAGGTTGGGCAGTTCATCAGTGTCGTGACAGCAGCAGAGAAAGGAGAGCAGGCGAGAGGCTGTGGGGCTGGTGCTGGGGGAGGTTTGACTGTCCGGGGGGCACAGAGAGGCCGGCAGGGCTGAATGCTGAGTCGGGGAGCGGGGCACACGCCCGGCGCTGTCTGCCTGCAGCCGGCCCCCGCAGGGCCGTGCGGGGGTCCCGTGTGCCGCTGAACCGGTGCCGTCTGCTCTCCCCACAGGGGCTCTGCCGCTACTCCCGGTCCCCGCGGCTGCCGAAGGCTCCGCAGGTCTGTGCTGCGCCCGGAGCGGGAGGGAGGAGGCCGGGGCCGGGTTGGCACCAGCCCTGACTCCCCCCCTGCACCCACCCGCAGCCTCGTCCGGAGAGCGGTGCCGCCACGGGGAAGCCCCTTCCCTCCGTCCTGGAGGACGAGGAGGAGCCGGACGAGGTCTTGCAGCGCTCCCCCGCCACCACCGCCCGCCGCAAGCTGCTGCTGCCGCAGCTGAGCAGCCCGGCCCGGCGCGGCTCCCCCGGCAGCCTCCTGGGCGATGAGCTGTGCCAGGTCTCAGCCCTGCGGCGCTGCAGCCGGGGCCGCAGCCCCTCTCCGCAGTGCCGGCGGGAGCAGGAGGGCAGCGCGGGCCGGAGGCCGCCCAAGCTCCTCATCCCCTCCCTGCACACCTGCGGCCCCCCGGAGCTCAGCCCCAGGTAAAGGCTGGGACGTGCCCTGCTGCGGGTTTGTGCCGCTGGGGATGGTGGCAGAGGGGCGAGGGGGTGACGAGGCTCAACCCTCACCCTATTCCTGCCCTAGAGTTGTGGATGGCATTGAAGACAACGGGAGGCCGTCGGAGCCGCAAACCTTCTGCTTCAACGTGGACCGTCCGCTGCCGAGGACGGGGAGGGACTCCCCTAGCTCAGGTACCTCCCGCGGTGCCAGGCAAGGCCGTGGGGCTGGGGGGCTGAGTGAGCTCTCTGCCACCACTGGAAATGTCTTTCCCTGCAGGGACCAATGCGTGCAGCCCAGCCCTGGCGCTGGAAGCAGAGGAGATAAAGCAGAACATCATGAGGCTCAACCAGGAGGTGCGCTGGGGGCCAGAGGCACAGTCCCGAACGCACCGGGGGGAGCTTCCACCGGCGCTCACGGCTCTCCCTCCCCTTGCAGATCAACCACCTCAACCAGGAGGTTTCCCACCTCAGCCGGGAGCTGCAGCGCATGATGGAGCTGCTCCAGAGCCGCCTGGGCACCCCGCAGCCCCCCGCCTGCCCCTACCGCCTGCCCCCTGCAGCCCCTCGGCCCCTATCGCCCCCGGTGCCCCCTTCTCCGCCCCCCGCTGCCCCCAGCTCCCGCAGCTCCCCCTGCGCCAGCCCCCCGGCCATACGCTGCCCCGTCCGCAGCCGCTCGGCCCACGCTGGTGCCAGCCCCGCTGCGCATCCCTGGCTGGGGCCGTGCCCGCCGCGGGGGGAACCCCCCAGCCCTGAGCCCCGCCGCACTCCGGACTCGCCGCCCTTCGCGCTGCCGCCCCGCTTTGCCCACTCCTTCCCCGGCTGCTCGGCCGGGGGCCGGGCCCGCATCCACCCTCAGCCCCGCTCCGGCTCCTCCAGCTCCCACTGACCCCGCGGGCTCCGGGGTGGCGGCGGGGGGGACCTCGCCATGGGGACCCCTTCGCAGCGGTCCCGCTCTCTCTGACCCGGTCACCGCGCAGCTCCCGCCCGCTCCCACGGGAGCACCCCGGGATGCGGCGCTGGCCGCGGCCCGGCACCAGCACGGTTCTGATCCGGGTTTGGACTCCGTGCCCGCGGGTGCCCGGTGCGGGGGTCCCGGGGGGGGAGGGGGGGTCCCGCCGCTCCCGCCCCGCCTGCTCTCAATAAAGTCTCTATTTTTCCACCCCGCTCCTGCTCCGTCTCTGCCCGGCCCAGCCCGGCCCCGCCGGACTACATCTCCCAGCGCCCCCCGCGGCACCGGCGTGACGCCCTGCCGCCCGGCTGACGTAAAGCGATGGGGCGGAGCTACCGGAACGGGACGGGAGGAGGGTGATTGGCAGCTCCTGCTACCAATGGGCTGCAGGGCAGGGAGCGGAAGGGGTGGGCGGATCCGGAAGCGGAACGGTTAAAGGCGGAAGTGAGGGCCGGGGCCTGCGAGACTCACCTGCGGCGGGGAGCGGCGCTCCGGGCGGTGAGTGCGGCCGCGGGGTAGGGCCCTCCCCCGGGACCGTGGAGGGAGGTGGCGGGGGCCGGCCTGGGAGGCTGCGGCCTTTGAGGCTGCGGCCTTTGAGGCTGCTCGGAGCAGAGCTCCGGTCCCCGCCCGCCGGTCCCGCGCCGTGTGCAGGCGAGGCGGGGGAGCGGCCGCAGCCGTTACCGGTAACGGCTCTGCGCTGGGCGGGAGGAGCCGCGTCGGACGGGGGGGAAGCGTCGCGTCTGCATTGGGGGCCCTCCCGGAGCAGGACCGGTTCCGTGCGCGGTGCGCAACGGGGCCGATGTGGCCCGTTCCGATCCCCTTTGTGTCTCGGGCGGCGGTGGCTGTTTGGAGGTGAGATGGAGCGTGCGGCCCTGTGAGGATGGCGGTGGTGCAGTGCTGCGGCGTACCCGGTGAGGGGCTGAGGTGGCAGTAGGAGCTCCGGGGGTCTGAGAGGCCGGGCAGAGCCGCCTGCATGAAGGCTGTGGCTTAATCTGCTGGAAGTAGGTTCCGGTGGAACGGGGACCGTTCCGGATTGCTGCTGGTGGCAAGCACAGCCCCTGCCTCCCTGTAAGAGGCACTCGTGAAGTGAAATCCGCGGTGCTGCAGCCTCTCAAGCAGGGCAAAAAGCCGGCAAGGAAGTTTTGTGGCTCGCCTGGAAGGAGACGCGGATGTGCTGGGGAGCAAGGGTGTCCTGGGATCCTCAGCGCAGTGGGAGACCTGTGCCGGGAGCAGTGCGTGACCCTCCAGCGGCCAGCAGTGCCGGTTGTAAGGGGGCACTGGGTCTGTGGGGCTAAATCCTGCGGGAGGTGCTCCAACCTGGCCGGGCTTGAGGTGCTGCTGTAGCTCCTGGGGCTGGGTGGGAGCTGAGAGGAGCTGCTCCCTGGCAGCAAACTGGGACACTTGCTGTAAACTGGGCTGCCGGCGAGCCCGAGCACAGCGCTGACCCCAGCTCAGCTGACCTTTAGCGTGCTGCTTTTGTGTGTGGCTGGGGCAGCTCTGACCTTGACTGCTTCCAAGCGTAAGGAAATCGGAGGGAAGCAGCTATGCCAGGTACTATTTTAAGGCCGATGTGGAACAACTTGCATCTCCTATTCTTAGCTTTTTGTGTGGTGGGTCAACGCATACTTGAGCTGCCCTGCTTAGAGGGTGACATCAGATCTGCTGTGTGCTGGGTTTGGACTCCTGAGCCTGTGCTGATGGCAGGACTCTGATGCTTGGTTGAGACCAAAAAAAGGAAGAGGCTTCTGATTCATGTTGGCTTAGCATGCTGTGCTGAGTGAACTTTCTGGGAATAGCCATTAATATTCACTACTGCCTTGACTCCAAAAGTTTTCTGTGGTTTTCTCTCAGCTGAACTGCTTAACAAAGTGAAAGAAACGGGACTGAAGAGGCTGAAGGATTCAGAATAGTGTGTGTAGGCAGCTGCAAACCAATGCTCATCTTAAATGCGTTCTTGAGGTGAGCAGGTAAAGCATGAGCCTATATAGACCCATAAGGGGAAGAAAAGCGAAGCTTAGATTCAGTAAGTGGGTCTCAGTGCTGGAATAATCTCACACTTGGGGCTCAACAGTATGCCCAACCAGTCAACTGCCTTCATAGCAAACGAATCTACCTTTAAAGGTGATCTTCCCCCTAAGATGCTCCAGGCTGATTGAGACAACATTGGGTTTAAGGTAGTGACAGGCAATGTTGGTCCCTCGAGGCTGTTCAGCGGTTGGTACCCTTCAGGTGGTGGAGCAAGATGAGATGGGACTCCTGCAGAAGGGTTAAGTTACTACAGAGCAGCGAGGGGGAGGCTGGCTTGCTGTGTGGATGCAAATAGAGTAAAATACAGCACTTGTCTAGGTTTAGGAACCTAAATGGTTTAGTCCCTTTTGCTTTATGAGTGAAGCCCATAAGGAGTTGGGCAGTGTCTGAAACAAAACTGTCTAGTGATGTATTCATGCCTCGCGTGCTCGGCCAAACTTAATTGTTGGGATGAGAGGTGGAATTACCTTCATCACAGCAAAGCTCTTCTGCTTCTGAAGAGGGATCAGCTTGAGAACTGCTCTAGGCCCTGCTGGTCATCAGCTCTTGATCCTGGCTTCAAGTGCTGCGTGTTTAGTGGGTAGGTGGTCAGGGCATCTCCCTGAAGAAGGAGGGGGAAAGAATGCCAAGTGCTTTCAGACAGAGGAAATGAAATGGGAACGCTTCTAATGAAGTGGGTGTAGCCCAGAGTATTTCGGTCAGCATACTTGAAACAGGGTAGAACATAGAAATGGTGGAGTCAGCTCTTTCCTTCCCTTGGGGTATGAAGTTTGAAGTCCTCTTATGCAAGTTCTGTGAAGTTGTCAGAGTAACACGATGAAAACACTCCCAAGTGCTAGCCAGAGACAGTGAACCTTCCCGAGAGGGACAGTGCTGGGGCAGAATAAAGCTTCATCTCCATCCTGAGAGGAGCCCTCTCCTCCCCTGGAGCCCAGGAATGAGCTGCTGGAGTAGCTCTACATAAACAGAAAAGAAACCCCTGGGTTTAATGTTTGCTTTTATTTGGTAGAGCTCCAAATAAGGAGCTGCCAGGGGCAAGTCTGGAAAAGATATTATGAAGGTCACTGATTCTCTTGCAGGGAAGACGGCAGTTTTGTGCTTTGTGGTGTCAATGATCTTGCCTTCTTGTTCCCAGAAGCGTGGGTGTTATCTAAAGGCACACATTGCTGGATTTCTGTGTTACTGAACGGTATTTTGAGGGCATGCTGAGCAAGGGGAGGTTTCAGGAGCAGGGGTTCAAATACCCTTGCCTGCACAATTAAACTCTTGGTGCTTTTGTTCTGTTTGCAGCAGGTCCAGGCTGTGCTCATGAGTTCCTCCTTCGGCCTCATCTGCTGTGCCATGGGCCCAAGTCTTTGCAGTGTCAAGGATAACCAGAAGTACCTAGGCCTGACTCCACTCTCTGTTTCTCTGTTCAGCTGTGGTGATCTAAGAGGACAGTAACAGCAGTTTTAAAAGCAGTTAGTCATGCTCTTCTGCAGAATTAACCCCCCTTCTAGGTTAGACTTGGAACTTCCTTGTGCTGCCACTGTGACCAACGTGCTAATAACTGTTGCTGCTGATACCTAGTCAACTGTCTGAGCATTAAAAACCTGTAGCTCCAAGGCAGAATCAGGAAGTGGAATGCCTTTGTACCCCACTGTGTGTTTTCAAGAATTCCTGGTAAAGAATAACTACTTAACACCCTCCTGAGGGGATGTGAATGGGGTTAAAGTGGCTAGAAGAAGGCTTGAGGGAGCTTGATAACGCCCTTTCACCCAAGTGCTGCACATCTTGACACAGTCATGTAGGCTGTCATCTTCCAAAGAGTCAGATCAGCTCTGGAGGATACATGGGTGTTCGTGGCTTTGCTTTCAGGTGGCATCTAGCAAATGTGCTTTAAACTGAGCAGTCCCTTTCTGTGTATGACTGTGTTCAGAGCTGACCTGGACTCCAGATGATCACAGTTCAAGAAGCGCCTGCGGTGCCATCCTGCAGGCTCCCTGCATGCAGCCCCTTGCTGAGCTGAGTGGTGGCTGCAGCCTCGTGGCCTTGAAGGCTCAGATAGAGTTGTTTTGGAAGAGCTGCTGGGGCTGCTTTGGGGGCTGTGGCTGTGCAGGTGTCAGGAGCAGATGTGTGTACCAGAAGCACGGGAAGGAGCTGGGATTACAGATCTTGCTACTCTTGTTCAGGGCTGTAGCTACCAACTAAAAGTCATTTAACTTTTTGTCAATGTAAATCCTATTTACCTCTAAAGTAAAATGCGTTTGCCCAAGTATTTAGGAGGTTTGGCCATGAGACTCTTTAGAAGAATTGTGACCGAGCTGATTTAGGTCTGTGAATCTGCACTTTAAGGCTGTAGTGCAGCTCCTGACAACTGCAGTGACTGGTTCCCAGTTCAGAGCTGCTACTGAAGCTCCAGGTTACAGCCCTGCTGATCCAGAGACTGAGCCTTTTGTTTATGGAGGGAAGTGCATGTTGGCTGTACAAAGATGAAGTATTAAAACTGATCAGACTTTATGGGGCTGAGGGACGGGGGTCATCAAATGTGTTTCCTGGCTCATCTCATCTCTAAGAGCTGGGTCTGGCTCTCACAGTGTTGGATGCTCCGGTTGGCACCTTGTGCTGTGCTCATCCGGGCTAGGGGAGTCTGTGGTGTTCTAGTGGGTCTCGCTCTTGCTGCTGGCCCTGCTCCTGGAAGCTGCTTGTGAATCAGGGTCCTAAAGCTGACTCGCTCTGGGTGGGAGTAAGGTAGCACAAGCTTCCTGCTGGTGATGGCCGGCTGCCCATTCGGTGTGAGGTGAAGCAAAACCACTCAGTAACTTCAGGGCTTCCTTTGCCAAGGAATTCATGTAACACTGTCAGCTATTTAACAAGATAAATACTTCAGTGGGGCTTTTGTCTTGAGGATCTTGATTCTAAGCCAACAAATCCCTGGTGAAATGGCCTCTTGCATAGCTCAGAGCAGAAGCAGCCCTCTTGGGTTACTGCATTCTTCAGGATTGGGTTTCTAACTCTCACCAGCTTTCAGAGGAGTCCTTGCTGCTGGGTGAACACAGGGCAGAGGCATCAGGTTCTGTAACTTGCTGCAGCTCTCCTGTGTAGAGGGTCTTGTAAAGCACTTGCCTGGCACAGGGGTTAACTTGGGGATCTGACAGGAGCTGTGCTGTGGAGAGTGGGGTTCTTGTGCTGTTCTCAAGCATGCCAACAGCTCTGGAGAGCTGCCTTGCTCTGGGGGAGGCTGGGAGTGCAGCAGTGCCTTCTCATTCAGGGCTCTCTAATCCCTGGGCTCAGTATTCATGGAGTGCACCAGATCCTGTCAGACGGGGAAGTGCTGAGAGGTGCATAAACCATGGAAGTGATAGGCTTGGAGTTCTGGACAGCATCAGGCATCGAAACTGAACCAACCAACCAAGAGACTGTGCCCAGAGTTCACAGTAACAAAGCTGGGACTTCTGCCCGTGTGCTGCAGAGCTCCTGCGTGTGCAGGAGGCAGGTATAGGGCAAACAGAGCAGCATCACCTTCCTGGGACAAGCTGCACCTTCAGCCACTTCCACCCCTCAGCACAGTGGCCCTGTAGTTATTTTGGCCTGGCTGACCTGTGGCTCGAGCATGGCCTCGTGTTCTCCTGGGGATCTTCCTGTGGACATCAGCAGGAATGCTGAGCTGCTTGTCCTGCTCTCATGGATGTGCTTAGCCCGAGACCCCCAGGGAGCAGTTTGGGTCATCTGAACTGCGTCAGTTCCACCCAAACCATCCTGAAGGTCTGGCAGCATCTCGTGGATTGAAGTCATGGACCTCAAACCACCTTTAGGGGATGATCGGGTTCTCCAGAACTAAAAGTGTCCCAAGTCTCTGGTTGCTTTGCTGCTTGCCCTTGTCAGCAGCTCTCCACAATGACCTGGCCATGCAGACACGTTTGCCTAATTCTGTTTGGGCTGCTGTAGCACACCCAGATGGAGACACGAATCGAGATGTGTGAAATATAGGTCGTGGTCAGACTTGAGGATGTCACCGAGCTCACTTCCTTGTTTTGCTCTGGGAATCACCCCTATCGTGTTTCAGGAGGTCATAGCTGGGCAGAGGCATGATTCACGTGGCATTTACTGTGCCGAGCGTTAGTCTGAAACAGCAGCAGGGCTGATAGACTGCCCTGCGAAAGGAGTGCAAGGTTAAACAAGCAAAAGCTAGTCCCTGGCAAACTCTGCTTAGAGGAGGAACTCAAAGGTGGGAATGATGCTTTTGAACCTGGTGGCAGCCAGAGCTGCAAAGTGCTGCTTCCTCACTGCCCAGCAAAACAAGTTGCAAATTTGCTTCCTATTGAGCTTTCTCATCCTATGAAAGCAGTGTTCTTCACTGACTTAACCCAGGAGTGGACAGGTCACTCAAAGCAGTGGCTTCTTCACAGCTTTGGTTCCTGAAGCATCTTGCTGCACTGATGTTGCTCCTCCTGGTACCATTCTGGCTTCAGTGAACGGTACTGGCTAAAGCAGGTTTCTGCCTTGCCTCCTGCTCAAACCAATTTGAGGTTCAGTGTCTCTAGGTCACGGGATGTGCAAGTGCTTTTGTGTTTTGAATGCTGAAGAGGTCCTCCAGCCCATGGCACGAATGGGCTGTCCCTCTGGATGGGCTCTGACTGAAGTGGCTGTATGTTTCCTGTCAAACTATGGAACTGAACCTCACAACTGGGCAGGCTTAGCCCTGGAAAGCAGGTATTGGAAACTCTCCTTTGGTATCGAGGCAGCCCTGAGCCTTGTTCACTGGATGTGCTGTTCCAGTTCAGGCCTGTTTCAAGCTGCTTTAAGCTTTTATTTGTGGATAGATGCTGAATGTACTCAGAGCACACCCAGAGTGACTTTGGGGGTACACTTAGAATGAGGAGAAATTGTCTTCTGGGGGACTCTGCAGTTGTCTGTCAACCAGAAGCTTGGGTTATGAGAGCTGAAGGGAAAGAGGCAATGCAGAGCAGATGCAATCAGTTGTAGCATTTATCACTGACAGGAAGTGGGAGTTGTGATGAGTACAGGAAATATGCCTAAATCTGTGTAACTGCACTCAAAGTACTGCTGTTCTCTGCTGGGTGCAGTTGAGCTGAGTGCTTGGGAAGGCATTGAGGCTTCACTTGTGGTTACTATGGATGAAAACCAGCTTGTCTTGCTGTTCTTGTGATGGTTTTGTGCTTCTGCCTTCCTTCTGCTCTAAGGTGCAGTATTTAATGGCTTGGGGTGAGTGCCTCTAAACTACAGCCTACCTATAGAGACTGCCTTTGAATGCCTCGTGACCTGAAGGACTGACAGGCAGCACTGCTTCCCATGCCTGCTTACGTGTGGCACTTGAACACCACTGTACTGCATTGGTAGTCTGGAGCTGCTGCCTTGTGAATTCAGGAGAGGAGGAAGGAGCTAAAGGTCAACCTCAGTTACCTCTATGAACTGAGTAATTGTTGCTCCAATAGATGCAGCTCTAATAACAGCAATTGGTGTGCTGGCTGCGCTTTACCTGCCTCACCCCAGCAAGGTGAGGCAACAGGCACACACAGCGGAGGTGGTGGGGAGGGAAGGTTGTGTTGTCAACATCCCTTCTCCAAGGAGGCTCGGGAGACCTGGGATGCTGCTGAAGGAGCTGCTGACTGGCAGTGGTGCTGTGCTGCTGCAGCTCATAGCTTTCCCCCATGGGAAGCAGGCACCATGTGCCTGTGCTGATGGTGGCTGCAGGTCAAACCCACCCTCTAGAACTGGTACGGCTGGTCCATGCCTGTGTCCCTCACTCTGCCTTCCTCTTCCAGTTGCAGCCTGCCTCCAGGTGGATCCCAGCACAGAACCTGCAGCATCCCTTAACTCTCGGCACTCCTGCGCTTCGGCCACCATGGCAGGGCGAGGTGGAGCTGCTCGACCGAATGGCCCAGCAGCAGGGAACAAAATCTGCCAGTTCAAGCTTGTGCTGCTGGGGGAGTCGGCGGTGGGGAAGTCCAGCCTCGTCCTGCGCTTCGTCAAGGGGCAGTTCCACGAGTACCAGGAGAGCACAATCGGAGGTGAGGCTGATGCCAGGTGCCTGCAGCTCAGAGATGCCTCATGGATGTGCTCCAAGGGCATCAGAAGTGCTGATGGCTGCTGGGCTGAGGCTTTTGCTGTCAATATCAGGCAGGCAGTGCTTTACCTCTCAGTTGACAGTTTTGTTTGTTAGTGTGGAGATCAGCACAGCAGAGGATAATGCTATGGCAACCGAGTGCTCTGCCTCTGAGGTGTCTTCACTTCCAGAGCTTGAATTCCTGCTTCTAATTAGAACTGATGCCTTCAGCTTGGTTTATAGCCCTTAATTATCTTTTCAGAGCATGACCTGGGATTTGGGGGCTGTTTCTAGCCTGATACGCTTAACTACTTCCACAGCTCTTGCAGGTCTAGTTCTTGAGCTTGACATCATTAGCACGGTGTCACCAATCAAAGGTCAGTCAAAACCTGGGTCTCTGGGCAGTGGTATTAGGAGGTATGTACTGAGAAAAGGCTTCATTTATTGCTCTAGTAACCCATGAAGAGAGTAAGTAGAGCTGTAACTATAGCTTATGGGCAAGCAGGGCTTAATGCTCTGCTGCAGAGGGTCATGTGGGCATTCTGCTGTTCTTCAATCTGTATCTAGGGCTGGTTGCTTTTCTCCTGGGTGTACCACAGGGTATTACACTTGCTGGAACAAGAAAATCAGCAGTTACTAAACTGGGGAGTACAGTGTAACTGAGCTGACTTCAGTGCTTTGGCACTCTGGTGCTCTCCAAAGCTAATCCTGGTGGGGATGCAGCTGCACTGGGTGATGTGTGAGGCGGCTGCTGGGGAAGCGACTGGCAGTGCTGCTGCTCCCACGGCTGGCTGCTGCCCAGGCTCTGGGGGCCACCTTCCTGTCGGCTCGGGGGTGGCTCTTGGGCTCCTGTGTGCAAGGAGCAGATGATACGGCAGAGCTGTGACTTCACAGCAAGCAGCTCTGCCCTGGCCCCTGTCTGGGGCTCCTGCTGCCAAAGCAGAACTGCTGCAAGCCCTGGCTCCTGCTGCAGGGCTCTCCAGGAGGAGCTGAGGCAGACATGCACCTTCTCTTTCAGCTGCCTTCCTAACACAGACGGTCTGCTTGGATGACACAACGGTGAAGTTTGAAATCTGGGATACAGCAGGACAGGAGCGGTACCACAGCCTGGCACCCATGTACTACCGGGGGGCCCAGGCAGCCATCGTTGTCTACGACATCACTAACACAGTGAGTACTGGGCAGGGCTGGGGGTCTCTGCTGGGAGGAGGTGGCTGTGCTTGCAGCTGATGCTTCTCAGTTCCCTGGAGAGGGGCTGGGTTCAGAGTCCCTGCAGATGCCTGCCTGTAGGTGCTGACTGTCTGAAAACTGCTCATGGCCTCTTCCTCACTTGTGACCAAGGCAGTCTAAGCTGATAAAGGATCCTGCTACAAAGTGCTGTAGAGGCAGAAAACTCCTTACAGGAAAGACTTGTTCTAATCATATCTTCACTGTGGATTAATAAGAGGCTGCCCTTCCTGACTGCTGCCTCCTGTTTGCTTCCAGGACACATTTGTACGAGCCAAGAACTGGGTGAAAGAGTTGCAGAGACAGGCTAGCCCAAATATTGTAATTGCACTAGCAGGAAACAAGGCAGACCTTGCTACCAAGAGAGCTGTGGACTTCCAGGTGAGTGGGAATCCAGATCAGTTGTTACCCAAGCAAGTCAGGGAAGCAGCTGTTTGCTTAAGTGGGGGAGAGGGTGGCTATGTGCACAATGCTTTGAGGGAGAGTGGAAGTCAAGGTTTAATGCTGCTGAGGACCCCAGGATGCCACCTGAAGTGAGCTGCAGCCTGCCTTTCCTGTGTGCTCCTCTTGTTGGTAACAGTTTGTACTTGTAGCTCTTGTTGGTAATAGTTCGAATGTAGAGAATAAGGCCCACAGAGCACAAGCTTCTGTCTTCAGTTTCTCCTGGTGCCTTATTCATCCAGGGCTGCCTTCAGCAGGGTATGAAACAGCATCTTTTAGGTACAAGACAAGTGAAGAACTGTTCCCAGCTTGTGCTCTTTGGAGCTCTTACTTTGTCTGAAACAAACCTTGGAGGAGAAGCTCTTATCTCAGACCTCTGCACAGGCTGGCTGGTGGTGCATTGACAGGCTCTGTTTCCCCCACCTAACCAAAGTCCAAGGTGGTGTGCTGCTCAGGGCAGGCTGTGTGCACACTGGGCTCAAGGGGCTCACAAGCAGCCTGCTCTGCTGTTCCCCAGCCAGGCTGTTGGGATGTTGGCCATGCAGCACGGTCGTGTGTGTCTCCCCAGGCAGGATCAGGGTGCTGGGGGGGGGGGGAATGGCCTGGAGTGAGACACAGTTCCTTTAGTGGTTAGTTTGCCAGCAAGTGAAGCATGTGAAGCCTGCTTGGGCCTCCTGTTGGCAGGGTGCCTTTACCACTCCGATGTGATTGTCTGTAGGATGCACAGACATACGCAGATGACAACAGCTTGCTGTTCATGGAGACATCTGCGAAGACAGCGATGAATGTGAATGAAATCTTCATGGCAATAGGTAACAGCGTGTGTGCTGCGGGGTGACCGGGGTAGCTCTGAGCCACCAGCACTGCAGCCCAATGGACACCATGGGGGCTCCCATCCCTGCTGGGTTGGAGGCTCTGGCTGGAGAGGACCAGCTTGTAGTGGTCAGATCTCTGAATGGCTGGAGCCTTTGCCAAAAGGTTCTTCCCTCTCCCAGTATCTGGGTGTTAAGCAGGGAAGGAGGGGGGTTGAATGGGTTTGTTTCCTGCCCTCCTGCTGCTGCCAGTGCCCAGTCCCAATCTGCTGCAGAGGATGGGGCTGAGCCGGGTTGGGGGGGGGGGTTTGGCCTCAGCACCGGAGCCACCTCACCCCTGGTTTCCTTCCAGCCAAGAAACTGCCAAAAACCGAACCCCAGACGGCGGCGGGCGGCGCGGGCCGGAACCGGGTGGTTGACCTCCAGGAGAGCAGTCAGCCCAGCAGGAGCCAGTGCTGCAGCAACTGAGCAGGCGGCCCCGCTGCCGGAGCCCTGGAATGACGTGACTGGAATCCACGCTAACAATCGCACTTAACCGTAGAGCGGCTGCTGCCCGGGGCTGCTGTGATTTCTCCATCCCTTTCTGATCATAGGCTGGAGGGAGTTCCTCCACCTGCACCTTTCTGTACAAATACTAATTCAATTCTAAGTCTTAAGTCACTTTTTTAATATATGAACTTCTGCTCTTCCCTCTTCCTGGTGGTGGTGGATGCACGACCTGGTGCCTGCCCAGCCTTCCTGCAGGGGAGGCCCATGGCACCCAGGTCCCACTGTACTGTAGTTCACTATTGGAAACAAAGGGATATTGAGACTAGACAGCCTTGTTTCAGCTCATGTGTATGTAAAAGCTGAGGCTAATCCCGGTATGATATGCCTAGAACAACCACTAAACTGTAGCATTAGAGTGACAAACTCTGGCTCTTCAGCCACTTATTGACCAAATCCACGATGAGTATTCTGGGGTGGGGCAGAGGGAAGCGAAACTGGTTTCTTCTGTATTTTGTATTGTATGTTTCTTCATGTAACCAGTCAGTATCTTGTTAATATAGTACATCCAACGAGCTGCCTGTTGTCTTTCTTTGTGTTGGACTCCAGCATGCCAACTCCTCTTTTCTATCTCCGGTTCTGTCACAATGCACTAATTCTGTTGCAACTTGTGCAAAAGAAACGAAAGTCTTGTATAGAAAATTGTCCTTTTTTTGATGGTTGTGATGCCACTGATGTTGTTAACCCTGCTCTGAATCCACAGGGGTGACGGCTGTACAGAGGTGGGGTGGGAAGCCTCGGATAGTGATGTATTGCGAAAGGCTGTAATTCCACACAGTATGAAGGGAGGTATTAAAATGGCTTCTGTTGCCAGACTCTAACTGATGTTGGCTGCTGCCTAGTGCCTAATGCAATGTCTTATGCACACTGGTATTTAAGAGGAACTGTCGACTTAGTCTTCATCACAATCTTCAGTTTTGTGTGATTAAACCAAGATTTTTATAAACCTTATCCCAATCACCAATGTTCGTGTTTCTTAATCAGCTCGAACAGGAGGGGAGCGGAACCTAACGCTTGTGCTGGGCTTCGGGGGAGTGTGTAAAACACCCTGCTCACCTATAGGGAGGCCTTCCTGGCAGGGAGGAGTGGGCTGTGTCCATTCCTGCATCAGCAGCTCCATGGAGCAGCACAACCTCCTTACCATGGGGCTGCAGGAGCCTGCCCTGTGCTGGAGGCAAACAGGGGGGATTACTCATTGCCTGGTACCTCTATAGGGAAGCTACGGTGCAAGTTGGGAAGAGGTGGGGAGCAGTGTGTGGAGGAGCTCTGCTGCCCGGTGGAGGGGCTCGGGGATGCTGTCCCTGAGCAGGGACCACCTCTGTGTTGGGATGAGACCTTGGAAGATGCTGCTCTCCTGCCACTGCTGCGTGGACCCCCATGAGGGAGACCTGGAGTCAGGGGGGAAGACAGCTCATCCCCTTGGCAGAGGGGGAAGGTCGTGATGGGCTGGAGCTGGAGCTCGCTGCCTCTCCCTGTCCGCAGGGTGGCCTCTGGAGCTCTGCTGTAGCCCAAGTGCCTGCCCAGCCCTGGGGCCTCTGGAAGCTCTCTGGGGTACCTGGGAATGGAGCTGGCTGTGAGCAGCCTCAGCTCAATGGGGGCTTCATGCTCTGGCCAAGGGCTTGGTGCCTTTGGCTCCTGCTGGCTTTCCTTAAAACCCTGCAAGCAGGAAGGGTCTGGAGGAACTCGGTGACTGAATTCCTGATACCTGGAAGCCTGAGCACAGGCTCCTTTCTCTGCCAGAGGAACTCCCCCCCCCCGGCCCCGGGGGACGCATCCGAAGTATCCTTGCTTCCAGCAGGGTTTGGACTGGTGCTGCTGGTTTCCCAAGGCAGCAAAGAGCTAGGTGGGCCTCTTGGAGAAGAGATTCCCCAGTCCCAACTGGGAACCGTCCCATGGACACCTCGTGCGGTGCTGTTGCCACCTGCTGGCTCCTTTCCCTTGGTTCCTGGGGCTTCATTTCTAAGCCTCCATCTCTGTGATGGGGTCTGGCTGCTGCCTGGGTGTGTGCGAGGGACCTGGAGAAGGTCACAGAGCTTCCTCGCTTGATGCTCCGCTGCCATAGGGAAGGGCTGTGTGAGCTCAGAGCGGCTTTAGCACAAACAGGCGTGCCTGCGTGTGTGCATACCTGCTGCCTGCCCAGGCCTGAGCGGGCTGTTTATGCACTGCCTGCATTTGGGATTTGCCTTCCCTGATGCTGGGATTGCGGCAGCGGCTCCAGCAGCCCCTTTCCAAGTTGGGGGGGGGAACTTGGTATAGTGGGGATACCCAATACCCAGCCAGGCTGTTCAAAGTGGTGGTCCCCATTCAGTAGCATCGTCCAGGGAGCAAGGAGCTATAGAGCTGATGCTGGCAGTGGCATGAAGAGGGAGTGAAGGAGCCTGCTCCTAGGAGAGCTGTGGCTCAGGTGAGTGGGGTCCCCTTCTTTCTGCCTGGGGGATTCCTGCCAACCCCACCACGAGCAGCCTGGTGCTTGCAGGTCCCTTCCCTCCCCTAGGCCGGTCCCATTTTGTGCTGCCACGAGGCAGCATGAGGGGTTCTTCCCTCTCTGTATGCCCAGCTCCGCTGGCACTAAGAGCTCAGATCGGGACCCAGCCTCCCCATCACCCAACACCAAGAGAGCACAAGCACGTTCCATGCAAAAGTGTTTTATTGGATACAAAAGCATTCCAGTGTAATGAAAACTGACATCACTGATGGAGCTTGTCCGGGCTCACGCCCGGCACTCGCTCTGGTCCTGCCGCGGGCCATCGGCTCCCTCCCGTTATGCCTGGGCTTTGGTGGCGGCTCCGTCCTGGGCGGCTGCTCCGGGCTGCGGGGCTGCGGTGCTGACCTGGATGGGCACGTTCCTCTCCGGAGCAGCCGGCAGCGCCAGCCGGGGGGCCTCGATGCGGAGCTGCCCCTCCTTGGACAGGGAGCACGTCAGCGCCTCGACGTCCACCTCCTCAGGCACGTCCCACTCCCGCTTCAGCACCTCGTACTTGTAGGAGAAGGAGCCCTTCTCATCGACGTTCTGCGTCTCCTTCTGCCCCACCAGCACCACCTTCCTGCCCACCATCTTCACCGACAGCTGCTCGGGGGTGAAGTTCTTCACGTCCTGGCAGATGGAGAAGCCGTCTCCGGAGCTCGGGGCCAGGGCAGTGCTGGAGCGCTGGGCTCGCTCCATGGCGTTGGCTCCTTGGCTGCTCAGGAGCTGCTCGAAGCTGCTCATGAACTCCCGAGCTTTCTCCATCTCCTGCTGCAGCTCGGTGAAGATGGTCTCTGCGTGGGGCCAGAGGGTCCTCACGGTGCCCAGCTGGCTGGCCAGGGCGCTGGAGGCGAATGGTGCGAGATGCATTCGGCAAAGCATCGCTGCTGTTATTGCTGCTGCTGCTGCTGCTGCTGCTGCTGCTGCTGCTGCTGCTGCTGCCGCTGCTGCCGCTGCTGTCGCTGTTGTCGCTGTTGTCCCCTCTTCAGTGGGCTGCGAGCGCTCTGCCCCGGCTCTGCCGCTCGCAGCTTTTATTTCCCTTCCCGGGGGGGCGTGGCCTCATCCCGAAAAATCACATCATCCTCGGGAGAAGGGCTCAGCTCTTTCCAGCCCGTTCCAGTTCATTCTTCTTACTCATCCACGAGGAGAGGCAGCGCTGACGTCGCGCCCAGCATACCTTTGCCCTTAGTCTTGCGGCTCTGCTCTCCTGGCTTATAATTAGCAGCATCACCTCAGCCTCCAAACGGGATGCCTGAGCCGCCCCTGCCAAAAATCTGTGGCCTTTCCAGCTTCCCAGGCAGGGTGCGGGGCCGGGCTCCTCTCCTCCCTGCCTTCTGCCCCCTCCTCTGTGCCCTGATACCCCTCAATCTGCGGGCAGGGGAGCCCCTCTTTCCCCCTCCCACCCCATCGCAGGACCCTCAGGTGCTTTGGGGGACCCCAGGCGAGACCAGGAATGGGTCCTGGGCCCCTCCCTGGGCGGGTGCTGCAGGGCAGGGACAGGACCGGGGGCGGCCCTGCGGGGGGGGGGGGTTCTGGAACATGCGAGAGGCAGCGGGTGATGTAGGAACGCATTGAGCTGGGGTGGGACTGTCCCCGCTGAGGCCCCCTGCAGGGGCTCGTGGCCGGGCTTTGCTCACCCCCCGCTCCCGGGGTGCTGCTGTATCACGGTGGCTCTGCAGAAACCCGAGCTCCCCGCAGTGACCGCAGCTCCCTATTTGCGGCGTGTGACTCGGCCCCGGGAGCGGGCGCTGCTATTTTGGCTGCTGGATAATCAGCCTCTCAAAAATAGGCGATGGCTCCAGGAGGGTGCGTGGGGAGAGAGCGTTCTGGAAGGGGCACACCCCCGGGCAGGGGAGGATAAAACCCGCTGCTCCCGGCTGCAGCCCAGCACCGCGACAGCCGCTGCACAGAGCAGAGCCGCAGCACACACCGGAGATGCTTTGCCGCTTGCACTTCATGCCGCCCACCTCCAGCACGCTGTTCCCGTGGCTGGGACCCGTCCGCACCCTCTGGCCACATCCAGGCACCCTCTTCGCGGAGCTGGAGCGAGAGCTGCGGCTGGAGATGGAGAGGGCTCGGGAGTTCATGAGCAGCTTCGAGCAGTACCTGACCAGCGGGAGCAGCGCCAGCCGGATCGGCATCGCCGCGGACCGAGCCCCCAGCACCAGTGCAGCCCTGACCCAGGGCTCCGGGGAGGGCTTCTCCGTCTGCCAGGACGTGAAGGACTTCACCCCCGAGCAGCTGTCGGTGAAGGTGGTGGGCAGGAAGGTGGTGCTGGTGGGGCAGAAGGAGACGCAGAGCACGGACGAGAAGGGCTCCTTCTCCTACAAGTACGAGGTGCTGAAGCGGGAGTGGGATGTGCCCGAGGAGGTGGACGTCGAGGCGCTGACGTGCTCCCTGTCCAAGGAGGGGCAGCTCCGCATCGAGGCCCCCAGGCTGGCGCTGCCGGCTGCTCCGGAGAGGAACGTGCCCATCCAGATGGGGCCGGCGGTGGCGCAGTCGACAGCCAACACCGACGATGGGGATGAGAGGGCCAAGGCGTGATGGGGAAAAGAATGGGGCCGGGCTGAGCCCGGCTGCCGGGGCAGTCTTTGGCCGCAGGGCAGCGGCCAGGGGGGCTCTGCCCAAACCGTGTGGATTTTTGATATTTAATAAATATTCGTGACTTTTATGTGCGCGATTTCTGTGTCCTTTGCACCGCTCCCGGCTCTGCCCTGCAGCGGGACGGCAGCCGGGGCATCAGACGGTGCTGGCGCAGGGCACGGCTCTGGCACCTCTCCCCATCCCTGCCTCGGCAGAGGAGGGCGATGGAGGGGCTGCAGCCACGCACAGCGCTGGGCACCCCGCGGGCACCCTCTGGGTACCAGACCCGCATCTTCGCGGCCGTTCCGTGGCGTTCCCGTTCGGCCTCGGCTGCCCTTCACCGTGCCCCGCGCCTGCTGGCACCTTCCAGGCTCCGCCGGCTCTTTCGCGGCTCGGCCCGCCGCCAAGCCACGCCCCTTAGCGGCATGGCCGTGGCCTCCCATAAATGGGCAGGCGGGGGCGGTTCCACTCCATATATGTACGCCTGGAGGAGGGGCCACACTCCATATCGGGCCAAGGAGGCGGGGCGAGGAGCTGCAGCCACACCCCCGTGTTTACATGGCGCTCCAGGGCTAGGGGGCGGGGCATCATACCACATATGACTGAGGGGGCGGGGCCACGCTCTATATTTGGAGGAGTCTGCGGAGGGCGCGGTGAACCCCTAGCACGGCTGGACCGGGCACGGTACCGGTTACCGGAGGGGATGCTCCTCCGGGTAGCGATGGCCCCGCTCCGCTGGCCTCGCCCCGGGGGGGGCTCTCTGGGTGATTGGTCCCCGCCGGGCCCGGTTCCCGGTCCTCCGTGTCCGGTTCCAGCTGCCCACAGAGCGCCCGAGGAGCTCAGCCCCGGCGCGGGGCTGCGGACGCCGTGAACCGGCCCCGGAAGCACCGGATCCACTGCCCCCCTCCCCCCTCCCTCCGCCCGCGCAGCGGCGGACTACGGATCCCGGCGTGCCCTGCGCGCAGGCGCAGTGAGCGCGGAGCGCACGCCGGGCCCGGCATGGCGGAGCCAGAGGCCGCGCAGCCCGGGCGGCCCCCGCCGGGCCCGGGGGCAACGGCGGCAGCGGGGAGCGGTGGGGCTGGGAGCGGGGCGGCGGCGGCGGGAGGAGGAGCGGCGGGGTCCAGCGACCCGGCGCGGCCCGGGCTGAGCCAGCAGCAGCGGGCGAGCCAGCGCAAGGCGCAGGTGCGCGGGTTCCCCCGCGGCAAGAAGCTGGAGAAGCTGGGGGTGTTCTCGGCCTGCAAGGTGCGGAGAGCGGCACCGGGGCGCGGTGCAACGGGGGGAGGCGTGGGGGGTGCAGGGGCGAGGGGATGCGCGGAGGGATGCAGGATGGGGCGCGGGGATGTGCATGGGGGGGCATGCAGGAGGGAGGGTGCAAGGATGTGCATGGGGTGCAGGAGGAGGGCGCTGGGCCATGCATGGGTGGAGGGTGCGGGGATGTGCATGGGATGCAGGAGGGGGCGCTGGGATGTGCATGGGGGGGCATGCAGGAGGGGGAAGGATGTGCATGGGGTGCAGGAGGAGAGCGCTGGGATGTGCATGGGTGGAGGGTGCAGGGGTGAGGGTGCGGGGATGTGCATGGGATGCAGGGTGGGGGGGATGCAGGAGGGAGGGTACAAGGATGTGCATGGGGTGCAGGAGGAGGGTGCTGGGCCATGCATGGGTAGGGGGTGCAGGGGTGAGGGTGCGGGGATGTGCATGGGATGCAGGATGGGGCGCGGGGATGTGCATGGGGGGGATGCAGGAGGAAGGGTGCAAGGATGTGCATGGGGTGCAGGAGGAGGGTCCTGGGCCATGCATGGGTAGGGGGTGCAGGAGGAGGGTGCTGAGTTGTGTAAGGGAACTGCCAGGACATCCATGGGAAGGTGCTGCGGGATGCTGGGCTGCACAGGGGGCAGTTGGGAGAGGGTGTTCAGGTGCTGGGTCCTGCAGGGTGGGTGCTGAGGAGAGCTGGGGTGGGTGAACAGGGGTGGGTGGAGGAAGCTTTGCAGGGGGAGTCGTGTGGCCGCTCTGTGATGGCTCCTCCTTGTCCTTCATCCCAGGCCAACGACGCCTGCAAGTGCAATGGCTGGAAGAACCCCAACCCTCCCACCGCCCCCCGCATGGACCTGCAGCAGCCGGTGACCAACCTGAGCGAGCCGTGCCGGAGCTGCAGCCATGCGCTGGGTAACGACACCCCCCATGGGGTGCTGGGACCCCCCCCAGTGCAGGGGGAGCAGTGCTGACCCCCCCCATCCCACTCTCACCACAGCAGACCACGTGTCCCACCTGGAGAACGTCTCGGAGGAGGAGATCAACCGGCTGCTGGGCATGGTGGTGGATGTGGAAAACCTCTTCATGTCAGTGCACAAGGAGGAGGACACGGACACCAAGCAGGTCTATTTCTACCTGTTCAAGGTGTGTGTGGGGCTGGGCACTGCTCATGGAGGGGCTTGGGCAGGGGTCCCTTGGCGTTGCTGGGGAGCTGCGGTCTGGCTGTGGGTGTCCCTCCAGGACCTGAAATACTGACCCTGGGCTGGGAATGACTGCTCCCGGCCTTGAATTCCCCTGGGGGGGGAGGTTTCTGGAGAAGAAGCGGGCATCATGGGAGGAGGAGCTGTTCCTGGGGCTTTAGTAACCGTGTCCTGTGGTGTCCCCGCAGCTCCTGCGGAAGTGCATCCTGCAGATGAGCCAGCCTGTGGTCGAGGGGTCCCTGGGGAGCCCCCCCTTTGAGAAACCAAACATTGAGCAGGTGAGGGGGACTTGCACTGGGGGCTGGTCCTGTGGTTTGCTGCTCTTGCACGGCCTGGTCCCTCTGGGTGGCAGCACGAAGGGTTGGGTGCAGCACCCAGTGCCCTTCCATCACCCCCCCTTCCTCTCCCAGGGAGTCCTCAACTTCGTCCAGTATAAGTTCAGCCACTTGCCGCCCAAGGAGCGGCAGACCATGTACGAGCTCTCCAAGATGTTCCTGCTCTGCCTCAACTACTGGAAGCTGGAGACTCCATCCCAGTTCCGGCAGCGCTCACAGAATGACGATGTGGCCACCTACAAGGTCAACTACACAAGGTGAAAGTGGGAGAGGGGCTGAGCCTCCTTCTCCTTCCTCCCTGCACGGGGCTGAGCCCTGGTCCTGGCGTTGTCGCCTCTCCCTGCTCTCCTGGCTTGTTGGTCCATTTGGAGAGCAGGCATCCAGTGGGACCCTGCTTCCAGATCCCATCATCCATGACCCCCCAGGCTCCTGCTCTTCTCATCCCTGCTTTCAGCAGTGTTGTCCCAGGAGGGATGCAGGGCTCCGGGGATGCTGGTCCCAGCCCTGATCCTGGAGCGTGTTCCTGTCTCCTAGGTGGCTGTGCTACTGCCACGTGCCGCAGAGCTGCGACAGCCTTCCCCGCTATGAGACCACGCACGTTTTCGGGCGCAGCCTCCTCAAATCCATCTTCACGGTCACCCGCCGGCAGCTGCTGGAGAAGTTCCGGGTGGAGAAGGACAAGCTGGTGCCGGAGAAGCGGACGCTGATCCTCACCCACTTCCCCAAGTAGGTGCCCGATGCAGGGATGGCTGTGGTGCTGCAGGGGAGGGTCTCCTCCTCGCACACTGAGCGCAGCCGATGCCCTGCTCCCTGCCAGGTTCCTGTCCATGCTGGAGGAGGAGATCTACGGTGAGAACTCTCCCATTTGGGAGGCTGATTTCACCGTGCCGGCTGCCGAAGGGGCTCAGATGGTTTCTCGCCCAGGTATCGGGGAGCAGCCGTCCCTGCTCAGGGGCTGTAGGACACAGGGACGAGGGTGTGATGAGTTCTGGTGCTCATGGGCATCATTGGTCTCTTCCAGCCGCGGTCAGCACCGTGGCCGTGCCCACTGCTCCGCTCTTCAGCAAGAAGCTCAGCAACAGCAGCTCTGCTGCGAGCATGGACTCCAGCGCCCCAGAGCCCCTGCCAGGTATGACCAGTGCAAGCAGGGACCTCCCTTGGTCCCTCCTCGTGCTGGACATGCCCTCTGCTCTGTGCTGCAGGGGAGAAGCGGAAGCTGCCCGAGAGCCTGACACTGGAAGATGCCAAGCGCATCCGTGTCATGGGCGACATCCCTATGGAGCTGGTGAACGAGGTCATGCTGACCATCACGGACCCCGCTGCCATGCTGGGCCCTGAGGTACAGGCTGGGGGATGATGAGGGGCTCAGGCTCTCCCTATGGAGAGGGCGGTGGAGCCAGTGACCCTCCCCATACCCCCCCCCCAGACCAGCCTGCTGTCGGCGAATGCGGCGCGGGACGAGACGGCGCGGCTGGAGGAGCGCCGCGGCATCATCGAGTTCCACGTCATCGGCAACTCGCTCTCGCAGAAGTCCAACAAGAAGATCCTGATGTGGCTGGTGGGGCTGCAGAACGTCTTCTCGCACCAGCTGCCCCGCATGCCCAAGGAGTACATCACTCGCCTCGTCTTTGACCCGTGCGTGGCTGGGGGGGGGCTTGGGGAGAGGGCTGGCATTGGGGATCCCCTCTCACCCTCGGCCGTGCTGCCCACAGGAAGCACAAGACCCTGGCGCTGATCAAGGATGGGCGGGTGATCGGCGGGATCTGCTTCCGCATGTTCCCCACCCAGGGCTTCACGGAGATCGTCTTCTGTGCTGTCACATCCAACGAGCAAGTGAAGGTGGGAGCGGGGAGGCATTTGATGGGCACAGCATGGGGGTCCCCGGCAGCCCTATGGGGTGGTGGGTCCCAGCGTGCTGTCACTGTCGCTGTTAGAGCCCAGGGGTGTTGCAGACCCTCAGCTAGCCAGACCCCCCTCAGCACTGGCCAGTCCTGAGCAGCAGGGATTGCTCTGGAACATCTTCCAGTGGCCTGTGTCCATGGCTGGGAGGGGGCTGTGTGTGTCCCGTCTAATGGAGGGGGTCCTTCTCTCTTCCCCAGGGCTACGGAACCCACCTGATGAACCACCTGAAGGAGTACCACATCAAGCACAACATCCTCTACTTCCTCACCTATGCAGATGAGTATGCCATCGGCTACTTCAAGAAGCAGGTGAGCTCCCCCCTTGAGGTGGCTTCCCCCGGCCCTCCTGCCCTGCAACCTCCCCCCTCATTTGCCTGTTCTCTCCTAGGGCTTTTCCAAGGACATCAAGGTCCCCAAGAGCCGCTACCTGGGCTATATCAAGGACTATGAGGGAGCGACCCTGATGGAGTGTGAGCTGAATCCCCGCATCCCCTACACAGAGCTCTCCCACATCATCAAGAAGCAGAAGGAGGTACATCCAGCAGGCAGGGGAGAGGTGCTGGCCCTCGGCATCCATCCCTTGAACCTGCCCCTTTCCCCCTGCAGATCATCAAGAAGCTGATCGAGAGGAAGCAAGCGCAGATCCGCAAGGTCTACCCTGGTCTGACCTGCTTCAAGGAGGGCGTGCGGCAGATCCCCATTGAGAGCGTCCCCGGCATCCGTGAGTCCTGCCCGTGTCTGGTAGGGATGGGCTGGGGCAGGAGGGCTCTGTCCTGCCCTGCCTGCGGGTGTGGGGAGGATGGGGTGATGCTGACGCTTGTCTTCCAGGAGAAACAGGATGGAAACCGCTGGGGAAGGAGAAGGGGTGAGTGCTGGGCTGTGGGGCTTGGCTCAGGCTGCTCCTCACTCCTGTGCTGGGATGGGGAGCTGGGAGTGCTGGGATGGAGTGAGACCGCCCACCCTGGGCTCTGGTTTTGTCCTGCAGGAAGGAGCTGAAGGATCCGGACCAGCTCTACAACACCCTCAAGAACCTCCTGGCTCAGATCAAGGTGCGGGCAGGAGGGGACCCTGTGCTCCAGAGCCAGGCTGTCCTGGGCTGTGCCCTCAGGGGGCAGATGGGGTGAACCAGGCCTGCAGGGAGCAGGACCCCCATGTGCTGGAGCAGGCAGGGGCTGCCTGCGCTCGCTGCTGGACCTTTCCTTCTGCCCTATCTCCAGACCCACCCCAGTGCGTGGCCCTTCATGGAGCCGGTGAAGAAGTCGGAGGCGCCGGACTACTACGAGATCATCCGCTTCCCCATTGGTAGGGGGCTGTGCCCAGAGTCCCAGGTGGGATGGTGGAGGGAGGGCTGGACCCCTTCCATTGTGTGGTCCATGCTGGAGCATCATCACAGGGGCAATGGGAGGCCCAGAACAGTGCAGAAAAGAGGGGGGTGAGTCGGGACTCGGGGTTGGTGTCCGGCTCCATGGCTGGGGTCTGCAGGGGTTTGGGCGACCTGACACTTCCCCACTCCCAGACCTGAAGACCATGACCGAGCGCCTGAAGAACCGCTACTACGTCACTAAGAAGCTGTTCATTGCGGACCTGCAGCGCATCATCACCAACTGCCGCGAGTACAACCCGCCCGACAGCGACTACTGCAAGTGTGCCAACACCCTTGAGAAGTTCTTCTACTTCAAGCTCAAGGAAGGGGGGCTCATCGACAAGTAGGGGAGCTGGCCCCGACCCCCCTTGGGCACCGGCTCCCCATGGGAGGGACAGGGCTGCCTGTGGGGACCCAGCCCTGTGCTGCGGGCAGGGGCTTCTGGAGGTTTTGGTGCTGTGAGTGGTCTTCCCTTGGGGCATCAGGGGCTTGTATCCCCAAGCTGCTGCCTCTCAAAGGCTCGGGCAGGGGCAGTGCTGAGTTCCTGCTTCCTGGCACTGGTGCTTCCCTCCTCCCCAGGGCCGTGCCTTCTGCTGCCTTGGCTCTCCTCCACAGGGCAGGGGCACACAAGTGCTTTGGGTTTCTGTTCCTGGCCACGCACAGGCACCCCCTGCCCGTCTTGTTGAATGTATGGTGGGGCTCAGCCCTGCCCGCCTTGGCCTGCAGGCAGAGATGCTGCTTGTGCTCCAGGGTCCTGCTGTGAGGGGATGTTCTGTCCTTGCCCCGCCCAGCTCCTTCTGCCTCTGTCAGCTCTTCCCCTGCCTCTGCTCCAGACAGGGCCTCAGCTGCAGTGTCTACAGCCCCCTCCCTGTCTGCTTCTGCTGCCCACTGGTGTGTTGGGTTCTGGCAGCCCGGGTCTGCTGTGTGTGTGTGTGTCCCGGCATGGGGGTCAGTTCCTGCTCCCATCCCCTCTTGCTGCCCAGCAGTGGGTTGTCCTCCATCCGTCTGCTGTCCCCCCCCCCGTGGCTTGCTCCCCTGCTGCCTTGTCCCTTGTGTCCTCATCACTGGCTGGGTGCTGGTGCTGCCCCCCCCCCCCCCCCCCGTGACTTTTGGTTTGTTTTGATTTGGGTTTTTTAAATAAACGTCCTTGTGCAGGCCCAGAGCCGCGGCTGATGGGGGGGGGAGGGGAGCCCGACGGGGCCAACCCAGGGTGGAGAAAGCGAACTGGGAGGGGGGGAGGGGGCGGACGCGGCTGGGAGAGCAGCGCTCGGTTTCGGTTTCTGTTCAGCTCAGCCCGGTGCCGGTGGCGCGGCTTGGGGGAGGGCTCCGGGGGCTCCTTCCGAGCGGCGGCTCCATGGAGCTGCGCGGGTACCAGCGGGCCGCGGTGGCGCCGGCCCTTGCCGGCCGCAACTGCATCGTGTGGCTGCCCACGGGCGCCGGCAAGACCCGCGCTGCCGTGCACGTCTGCCGGCGGCACCTGGAGAGCCGACGGGGCGGGAGGGTGGCGGTGCTGGTGAACAAGGTACCCGTACCCCCCCTCCCCATCCCGGACCCGCTCCCCTCTGCCCAGTGCTACCCACGGGCCGGGGCTGAGCCGGGTGTCGCGGGTGCAGGTGCACTTGGTGGAGCAGCACGCCAAGAAGGAGTTCCAGGTGCTGCAGGACGCGTTCAGGGTGAGGGCCGTCAGCGGGGACAACAGCCACAAGGTGTTCTTCGCCAGCGTGGCGAGGCAGAGCGATGTGGTCATCTGCACGGCCCAGATCCTGCACAACGCGCTGGTCAGCACCCAGGAGGATGCGCGCCTGGAGCTGACGGGTGGGTGCTGGAGCCTTGCACCCCGCTGCGACCGCCCTGCCTCAGCCTCCACCGCTGCCCCCTGGCTGCTGCTCCGCTCACCCCAATCCCTGCCTTTGCCCGGCGCAGAGCTCTCGCTGCTGGTCATCGACGAGTGCCACCACACGCACAAGGAAGCCGTCTACAACAAGATCATGATGGATTACCTCCAGCGCAAGCTCGGCGGGCAGCAGGACCTGCCGCAGGTCCTGGGTCTGACGGCATCGCCTGGCACTGGGGGGGCAACCTCCTTTGAGGGGGCTGTGCAGCACATCCTGCAGGTAGGTCCTGCGTCAAGATGGGGTGCAGCAGCCCCGGCACAGCTTCCCCTGGGCTGCAGCGGGTGTTCCTTGGGTGGGAGTTGATAACTTGGTGTGCAGGCCCTGGGGAGGGTATCCCCAAAGCTGCTGGGGTGCTGCATCGCCCTGGGCTGTGGGCTCAGGGCTGGAAGCAGGGTCTCGATCCCGCAGCTCTGCGCCAACCTGGACACGGAGACAATCACATCGGTGCAGGAGGAGGTGCAGCAAGTGCAGAGCCACGTCCCGCAGCCCAGGAAGCAGTATGACCTGTGCCAGGAGAGAGCACAGGTGAGGGGTGCTGAGCACCGGGACGGTGTCCCTGCATCCGCTTAGCTCAGGGCAGGGTGAGGAACCCATTAACCCAGAGCTTTGGGGTAGGGGTGCCATGCAATCAGCTCCTAACCCCAGGCTGTGCTCCGAGGCTGCCCACAGGAGCAGCCTTCCCAGTTCCTCTGGTCCTGAGCCCCTCTCTGCCTTCAGGACCCCTTTGGTGAGCGGCTGAAGGCAGTGATGGAGCAGATCCAGCAGTACATGGGGATTCCCAGCCTGCCGCAGGACTTTGGCACGCAGGTTTATGAGCAGCGCATCGTGGAGCTGGAGAACAGAGGTGAGGTGATGCAGGTGAGGTGGGGCAGGGCCGGTGGCACAGGGCCAGGCTGTGACTGCGGTGCCCGGCCCTCCCCAGCGGCAGAGAGGCTTTGCCGCCGGACGCGGGTGTGCGCCCTGCATCTGCGCAAGTACAACGATGCTTTGCTGATCAACGACACGGTGCGGATGCTCGACGCCTTCCAGTGCCTCCAGCAGTTCTATGACACCCAGAAGGACATGAAGGACCCCACCGAGCGGTTCCTCAGTGCCACGTTCGAGGGTGACGGAGGGGTTTGGAGGGGGTCGATTGCTGCATTTGGGGTTGGGGAGCACCCCCTAATGCCTTCCTCCCCCGAACAGAGAACAGGGCGACCCTGCAGGCGCTTGCTGGGGACCGGCGCTATCAGAACCCCAGGCTGGACAAGCTGGAGGAGATCCTGCGGGAGCACTTCCAGCCCCTGGGTGCTTCTCGCGGCATCGTGTTCACCAGGACCCGTCAGAGCGCGCACAGCCTGCTCGGCTGGCTGCAGGACACGGCCACGCTCTGCGGGCCGCACATCCGCGCTGCCGTCCTCACCGGCGCCGGCTGCAGCAGCCAGACCAGGCCCATGACGCAGGTGAGCAGGGGGGGGGAAGGATGGGACCGACCCCTCTGCACGCTGCGGGTGCTGCTGCGGCTCGGAGCCCCCGCGCAGCTGCTGAAGCAGCACCACGGTCTCCCCCCAGCATGAGCAGCAGGATGTGATCCAGATGTTCCGCAACGGAGCCCTCAACCTGCTCTTCTCGACCAGCGTGGCCGAGGAGGGCCTGGATATCCCCGAGTGCAACATCGTGGTCCGCTACGGGCTGATGACCAATGAGATCGCCATGATGCAGGTACCCGCGTGGGCTCCCTATGGATGCTCTACTCGGCCCCTTGGGAGGACATGGGGGGGGTAAGGGGAGGCCCAGCCATGTCCCCCCCTGTATCTTGCCCTTCTATTGCAGGCTCGGGGCCGTGCCCGTGCTGAGAACAGCGTCTACTTTGTCCTTGCCAAAGCCAACAGCAGAGAGGTCTCCCGCGAGCTGCTCAATGAGGAGCTCGTGGAGCTGATGGAGAGGGCCATCAGAGCGGTGCAAGCCATGCCGGAGCAGGAATACCGCCTCAAGGTGCGTGCTGGGCGCTGCCCTGAGCACCAGGAGGGACAGGCAGCTCCTGCCTGTGTCTGCTGCTTGCCCACAGCTCCCTGTGCTCTGGTTTTGGTGTCCTGCTCTTCCCTTGGGATGTGGCAGGGTGAGGTGCATGGAGCAGTGTCTGCCCATCCTGCCCTGCTCTCCAGGATGCTGTGTCAGCCTGCAGCCGTGTCTCTTGCTGCCTGTGCCCATAGCCCCGCGCTGACCCTCCCCTGTCCTCTGCAGATCAGGGAGCTGCAGCAGGCTGCCGTTGCCAGCTGGCTGATGAAGGAGGCCAGGATCAGCGAGAGGCAGCAGCAGCACGACCCGGACACCGTTCACCTTTACTGCATCAACTGCGGCGTGGCGGTGTGCCGCGGCAGCGACATCCGCACCGTGGAGGGCATACACCACGTTAACATCAACCCCAGCTTTGGGTAGGAGCTGGCTGCTGGTAGGGATGAGCTGCTGCTCCCCCCGTCCAGGATGGACAGGACCCTGCTGCCAGCTCTGTCTTGGGGACACCGGTCCAGGAGGGGTTCAGAGCGCATGTGGCTGCCTGTTCCTGTCCCCTGGACCATTGTCCTGAGCCTATCTTCCAGTCCTTTCCTTGCAGGTTGCACTACAGAGTTTCCTCAGGGAAAATCCAGTTCCAGAGGGCTTTCAAAGACTGGGAGCCGGGCTGCCGCATCGCATGTGCTGGGTGCAGCCAGGTGAGTGCTGCAGTACCATGGAGCTGGTGGGGCAGCAGGGGCCGGGCTTGTGCCCCAGTTCCTGGCTGAGGAATGGAGCTGAGGGTCCCTTCTGCACATTCCTGTGTGATGTGTGTGCTGCACACGTGGGATGGGGGCATGGGCCGTTGTCACCAAAGGGGATGTACCCCACTGCCGGCCGTGTGACGGTCCTCTCCCTGCCCACACAGGACTGGGGAATGGAGATGCTCTACCGGGAGGTGAAGCTGCCCATCGTCTGCATCAAGAACTTTGTGATAGAGACACCAGCTGGGAAGAGGAGGTACAAGAAATGGAGCGCTGTGACATTCCCCATCAAGGAGTTTGATTACCTGGAGTACTGCACCGACACCCATGGACAGTCCTTCTAGCACCGGCTCTGCTCCCTTTCCCGTCACCTTTGGCACTGGAGTCTCCATCCCAAGCCATGGCTTGCTCCTCTTTTCCTCACTGGACCGAGCCACTGCAGCACATCCCTTTGCTGGAGCCTGTGACTGCAGGAGGAGACTTTGCTGTGCCCACACAGGACGGATGGGACCCTGAGATGGGAAAGCTCCCAAAGCCTTCCCTGCCTGCTGCTGGCTGCTCTCCATGCTGCTGCCTTCCCCTCCTGCCCCCTGCACTGTCAGGCTCTGGGGCTGTCTCCACGACCCTGCCAGGGACGTGGCCCAGCATTGCTCTGGCAGCCTCCAGCCTGCTCTGTGAATCTGATGGTTCTCATTAAAGATGTGTGTGAGCTGGTGCAAGGGAAGAGTTGGCAGCTTCGCTCCTCGTGAGAGCTCGCTGTGCGCAGGCAGGTCCCTGTGGGACCACCCCATTGTCGGGTGGACAAACAGATCCCCCCATGCTGCCAGCTCAGGGGATCGCAGGAAGGCGCCTGTGTGGGGCTGCCCCCATCCTGTCCCTCCCTGCGGACCCACTGCACCCTCCTGAGGACTGAACCTTCCAGGGCCCCAGGACAAGGCTCAGCCCTGTGGGATCACAGCCAGAGCCGCGGGTGGACTTGACCTTCAGGCAGAAATCATAGAACCGCAGCCTGGTTTGGGCTGGGAGGGACCTTAAAGCTCCTCCAGCTCCAACCCCTGCCACGGGCAGGGACCCCTTCCACTGGAGCAGCTTGCTCCAAGCCCCTGTGTCCAACCTGGCCTTGAGCACTGCCAGGGATGGGGCAGCCACAGCTTCTCTGGGCACCCTGTGCCAGCGCCTCAGCACCCTCACAGGGAAGAGCTTCCCGAATGAAAGCGCTGCTGGGGCTGAGCCTGAGCTCAGCCCGACCCGGATCGGGACCGGGAGGGGCCCTGGTTCCGCGTTCCCCGCGATGCTCTCCCGCCGGCGGTCGCTAGAGGGAAGCCCCGGCCCGGCCACGGGGTGAGGGCGATGCCGGGGGTGCTGCCGGGGGAGGCTCAGCCGGTGCCGCCGCTCCGTGCGCGCCCCTTCCCCGAGGGGCCGGTGCCGGCCCGGGCACCTCCTGCTCCGGGGGCCGCGGTCCGTGGGTGCTCCCAGCGGGGACCCTTTCCACCGGTCCCCATGGGCGCAGCCGCACCGGGATGCCCGGGTGGGATCCGTGCCCAGAACCGGTCCCCTCTCGATGCAGGACCCTTGCAAGGGCCCCGCAGCACCGCGCCCATCCCTGCAGGAAGGACGAGGAGCCTGGAGCAGAGTTGCGGCTCCTGCCCGTAATGGGGCTTAGCCCAGTTTCAGGCGGTGGTAGCCCCGGGGGAAGCATGAAACCAACCTCCCGTTCACCAGAAAGTGGGTAATGAGGCCGTTTGAGTTATTTGTAGCTCTCTATGGGCTGAGATGGCCTCTCCTGCCTCTCCCCAGGCAGAATCCCTCCTGCAGGGACCCCAGATCGTTTTGCTAAACTCCAATTGCCCTGATTTGTGCACGGAGAATCCAGGCTGTGCGTTAACCTGATGGGTGCCTGCAGCTCTGGGTGGTGCGAGCTCTTCCCCAGCCTGGGTGGATTTGGTGAAAAACCCCAGATCTGGTTGCTCAAACCCAGCATTTCTGCAACGTTGATCCAAACTCACCCGTTGTGAGAGGGTGCCCCTGACCCCAGGGGATGCAGGGCTGGGAGAGCAGCACTCTGTGGGGCTCTGCAGGTCTTGCAAGCGTGTTTGCATCCAGCCTCTGCTTGTTCCTCCCTGTGCATCTCTGCTTCGATGCCAGCCCCATCTGGCTTCTGCTTCCCAGGAGCTCGGTCACCTTGGGCCTGGCAGCAGGGAGCAGCTGAGCTGCAGCGATCGCTGCTGTGACCTTGGCTGCTGTCCTTCAGAGCCAGCATCCTTCAGAGCTGGTGTCCTTCAGAGCCAGCATCCTTCAGAGCTGGTGTCCTTCAGAGCTGGTGTCCTTCAGAGCTGGTGTCCTTCGGAGCTGGTGTCCTTCAGAGCTGGTGTCCTTCAGAGCTGGTGTCCTTCAGAGCTGGTGTCCTTTGGAGCTGGTGTCCTTTGGAGCTGGTGCCCTTCAGAGCTGGCCGAGTCCCCAGGCTGTGTGAGGGTGCTGGGATGAGCATCCCTGTGACCCCATTAATCCACCTCCTCCGAGCACGCTGTCCCTGCATCCCTCAGCCCAGGCAGAGGCAGCGGTGGTTGCTCCCCTCTCATCAGCCATTCCCATCTCCCCTGCATCGCTCAGGTCTGGAGTGCACTGATAACCCGCTTTCAGAGGCACAGGGACTCCAGGAGGCTGGAATTCTGTGTCTGATGAGGTCTGCAGGTCATGGGGCTGCCCAAGCACACCCCCAGCCTGCTCCCAGCAGGCTCCCTCCATGCACTTAGCAGTGTCTTTGCTTTGCACCACTCGTCCCCCTGCCATGGGTCAGACCTCTGGCTTGGGGTCCCTCTGCCCTGTGCCAGCCTGCTCCCTTCCCCATGGTACAGTGTGGCTGTGACCCATGGAGCATGGCAGATGTCCTGGCAGCACTGGTGTGGCTTCTGTGCTCAAACCAGGCTGAAGCCCCACTCCATCACTCCAATTGCCCTGTCCTCAGCCAGGCATTAGAGAGGGCTGCTGGACCGGTTCTTACACACTAAGATACCCCCTGCCAACAGCCTCTGGATCCAAGTCTGTGGCTTGGAACATCTTTGCTTATCTCAGCTCCCTGAGGCACTTATGTTCCCGGCCGTCATAACTCCCTGCCTGTAAGTGGAGCCAGGCACCATCGGTCCCACAGCAAACAGCTCCTGCAGTGGCTTTGGCTGGCAAAAGTGGGATGCAGGCGATGGTGTGGGGACGGGCACAGCCCCAGCAGCACCCTTAGGCTCTGGCAGCCGTGTGCTCACAGACCAGAGCGAGGGCAATGCAACGACTTATTTTTATACCTTCCATTTCATTTATTGCCAGTGCATCGGGAAGCAGCAATTCACCTTTCCATGCACCAGCTGAGAAAGCCTCCGGCTCCGCTCGGCTTGGCAGCAGCATGGATTGGCCCTTTCCCGAGGCTGGGTGTTTAGCAGAGACTTAGAACTCAATCTGTTTAGCTTATCGAAAAGTAGCCTGAGATGTGGCTTGATTACAGCGCGCAAGTGCCTTCCCAGGGAGAAAACTGCCGGGTATTAAAGGGCTCTTTAACGCAGGGGTAATAAGACTGAGGGCTTGAAGATAAAGTCAGACAGACTGAAACTCGAAATGAAGTCCAGGCCTGCAGCAAGGAGGGTGCGGAGCAGCCAAAGCAGGATCCCTGCGCTTCCCTCTCCGGTGATGCCCCGGGTGGACTGCAGGTACCCGGGGCTGGGGGTTCTGACCCCGGGGGAGTCCATCCTGCCCCCGTGGCTCTGGTCCCACCTGGATGCAGCTCCTACAGCAGCAGGATGAGGGCCTGGATTTTGCTTCCCAGGCACATCTGAAGCTCTTGTTGTCGCGTGGTGTCTCTGCCGAGCGCGTCAGCCCCAGGGGTGACCTTTGCTGGGACAGCTGGAGCCTCCCGTTCTGTACCAGGGGAAATGCCAGCCTGCTGAGAACTGCTCATCCTGGAGGAACTCGATCCTGGCAACCAGAACCTCCTCTTCCCACTGCCAGGAGTGTGGCACCCCGCAAAGCGTGCAGGGACGTCCCCATCTTGCTCAGCCCCATCCGCCCCACAGCCAGCGGCTGCCCATCTGATTCCCTTGGGAGTTGTCTCGATGTGAGCAAGTCGGGTTGCCAGTGGATGAAACATGGGGATTAGCATCAAACAATTCCCCTCCTGCCCCAAGCGGGGAGGCAGGAAATACAATCACCGCAGTTTCATTCTGCTTAGGCTAAAAATGCTCCCTGGCATGGGTGATGCCACTGCAGGTGGCACAAAACGGGGGTGGGAGAGGCATGAGGGCCTGCATTTGGGTTGTGCATCACCAGGACACGGGGAAGGGAAGGGATGCAGCACTCAGTGGGTGCTGGCACAGCCCGGGGCCCACGGCACAAGAGGCAATATTGGAAAATTCCCAAACAACGTTTCATGCGCTAAATCTCAGCTTGCGATTCTGCTGAGACCCAGCTTTATAATGGGATCTGTCAGAAACCCGTCACGCTCCATGTGCAGCTGCCAGCGGGCTCTGCCCCTCGCCAGCTTGAGGAAAGATCCAGCCTCCAGCTAAACCTCAGCAGGCCTGGTGACCACTTGAGTGATGCCTCAGTTTCCCTCTCTGCTGCCATGGGAGGCAGTGGGAAGATGCCGGTGCCAGTGCAGCCATGGGAGCCCAGCAGCCTGTGGCTGATGAGGAGCAACGTGCCCGGGTGTTCTTCACCTGAGTAATCAAACCCTTTACCCAGCGTTTGATTAAAGGCCACAAAACATATTAGCTGTGATTCTCCCACTTTATTTTTGTTCCCTTCATTTGTCCCTTGGAGATGAGGGTTACTCCGGTACTTATTAGTCACAAAGCCCTAACCTCGCGCTGCGTTCCTGCTATCTGAGAAATGAATTATTAATGGTGCATTAAACAGAGACTGGAAAGGGGCCCTGGGACACTGATAATCAGGAGCTAATTGAGGAAGAAATGAGATACCGCTCCCATTGCAGAACAAGGACTGTGCAGTGCTGTGATACCAAAGGTGACCCTGCTGCCACTCCTGGGGCAACTGTGCCAGGCTCTGCCTGCCCAGCCCGTGGTGATGGGTCAGGACTGTGTGCTCTGTTCTGGCCAGGATGCTCTGCCCTGCTCAGGGTGCTCTGCCCTGGTTGGTATACTCTGCCCTGGTCAGGGTACTCTGCTCTGGTTGGTATACTTTGTCCTGGCTGGGATGCTCTGTTCTGGCCAGGATGCTCTACCCTGGCCAGGATGCTCTGCCCTGGTTGGGATGCTCTGCCCTGGTTGGGATGCTCTGCCCTGGCCAGGATGCTCTCTCCTTGCTGGGATGCTCTCTCCTTGCTGGGATGCTCACCTCTGTGTGGCCATGGCAGCATTTGGCAGGAGGGCTGAACATGGCAGAGGCAGGAGGGCTCAGACCCTGATGTGCTGTTTCTCTGTGTGGCATCAGCTGTGTCCCCACTGCCTGGCACTGCTTGCGGGCTGTGGCACGGAGCTTCCTGGCACAGGCAGTGGGGAGCAAACAGCAGCATCAGTGAGCAGGGACATGCAGTAAGAAAACGTGGGGCTGGCACACACATGTGGGGCTGGCACACGTGGGGCGGGCTGGCACACATAGCATAGTGGGGCTGGCATACATGTGAGGGACTGGCGCACACATGGGGGGCTGGCACACACTGGAGGGGGTGCACTGGGCTGGGAGCATCCGAGGCTCAAGCCAGAATCAGGAAG